GAATTTTTCTGTCTCTTTCGTTCGTTAGCCTCTGATTTGGGTAGGGTCACGTAATCGTATACATGTAGACCGAAAACTTCAGTCTCTCTAATCGTCGGTTGTTCCACTGAGACTACGTCTGGCTCCACTAGACCTCCGATTATAGAGACTGAAGATTGTCCTATCGGGACTGTACGGAACCAATGGTTCGGTTCGGCAGGACCGCGATGAATGAGATATGCTACGAGATTTTCACTTTTTACATCCTCATACATGCTGCAATATGACAATAATTAGAGTTTAATTAAAAATAACATATATAAAGCTTATTTGACTTACGATAGCTTGCGCATTTAGATCCTAAATTAATGATTAATCCGAGAAAGTCTCGTCGTCAACATTATCCGTCTTGGTTTTAGTTGATGAATATTAAATTTTTCTTTTCATTCATGCCAATGTAAGCTGTAGAATCTATACTGATATTTGAAGATGTTAATACTAATAGAAATATTAATAACACATCTTGGTACTTGGTTGGGTAATCCCTTTGGCAGCTCACTCAGGAAGCTATACTGGGACCAAACATATCAAATCTTAATTGTGCGCATTTTGGCATTATTATAAATTGATGCATATATGACGTTCAACTCTAATGATGTTTTTGTTTCCTGTATATCAGACTTCTAACTTGGCGACAACTCTGAAAAGAAGTATCAAGATTGAAGCATGACAGATAAGGTCCTGGTGATTGGGAGCGGGGGACGGGAGCACTGTCTGGCATGGAAGCTAGCCCAGTCATCGCAAGTAGCCCAGGTCCTGGTTGCCCCAGGCAATGCTGGAACAGCCAACAGTGAGAAAATTACAAACATGGGTAAGAATGAGTCTATGTCATGGTGTACACCTGTACATGGTTTAGGTCAAGTCTTTCTGGTACTTTCATAATAGATCAAACCATGAGATAATTCTCGCGACTGCAACTACGGCATTTGGCCATAGAGGGCAGCATCAGTCATAGTCATATATCTGGCAAGTGCACTTCTGGATACCATACAAATACAATAGGTCAAGGACTAGAAGTCTGATAGAAATTAAAGTTTTGGAACCATTAAACTATAAGTAACAGATTATGATAGTGCCTACTTAGATGTCATCAGATCACCAGGGGAGTTTATGAAACCTGAACAATAGTTAAGTAGAATAAGGAATTAGTTGCCCCTGCTGTACATTCTCTATGGAAGCCGGAAGAATTAACATCGTCTTCCCAAGAATCAGATCTGCACATTTGCTGACCTGCCCAGTCTGGGAGGAAGGTCGACATCTACTGTCAAATATTGTATTTGCCGTAGGGTCAATTAGTTAAACGGTTACTCTGTAATTGATGTTTATAATGATTGATTATTATTAATCTTGTCCTTATTTTGATATTTCTTTAGTTCATAAATTAGTAGTTTGTGTAATTTTGTTGTTTTAATATTGTAAAGCCCATTGTTATTTTCTCCGAAGATGAAATGCGCTATAGAAGCCTAGGTTATTATCATTATTATTATTTTCTCAAACATTATCTTTTAATTTAAATTCTGAAACCGTCAGGACCAGATGTGCCCATCGGTAACTACCCCACCCTGGCTTCCTGGTGTAAGGAGAACGGTATCAGTCTGGTGGTGGTAGGACCAGAAGCGCCCCTTGCTGGAGGTATTGCAGACTGCCTCGCAGAGGCAGGCATCCCATGCTTCGGCCCCACGAAGGCAGCGGCCGAGATCGAATCGAGCAAGGTCTTTGCCAAGAGCTTCATGGATCATTGCAAGATCCCGACGGCGAGGTGGGGCAGTTTCACGGAGGTGGATGCAGCTTGTAAACACATCAATACGTAAGTTGACTGCTCGGCATTATCGAATATACAGTCGAACCTGTCTCTAGCGACCGCCCAAGCGAAACACAAAAAGTCGTCTTTGTAGACAGGTTCCTTCTGATAGTACATGGGTCAATGGGAAACCATGTTCAAGGGAAACAAAAAATGTGATCTTTGTAGACAGGTGGTCACTAAAGCAGGTTTGACTGTACCTATATTTCTCTCCTGAACCCCTGGTTATGAACTATTTAATTCACCCGCTCTGCATAATCGCATCTCTATGGATGGAATCCAATTTGCATACATAAGTTTTTGCTACGTCTGAAAAGCCTATATATATGTGTTAACTCATCAATATAGTACTCTTGTTCAAGAAATATGCACAAGTTTAGTAAACAATCATTTGTTTGTATGATCCTGGATATTCCATACTCAAAGGCACATATTCTGATTTCAGATTTCAGATTTGAAAAGGAAAGCAGCCTCATTGAAAGCTGGCTCAGCTCCATGCGCTGATTTATGGAAGACCAAGATTCATGTTGAGCCTTGTATATACCTGTACAAATTAACTTTTGGGGGCTGTAATTCCAGGCCAACTGATTTCATGAGTAATATTTTGATTTTACCTTTTGATCTCTCTACAGTGCTCCCTACAAAGCTTTGGTAGTGAAGGCTAATGGTTTGGCAGCAGGGAAAGGAGTAGTAGTAGCTTCCAATCCAGAAGAAGCTTGCCAAGCTGTCAGGGACATTATACAGGTAAGGATGAACAACACATGCTCTGGTGACAAATTGCCCTGCAGGAAGTTTCTGCGCTAACCAAATTCTTAACTTCAACCCTGGATGTAACACTATACCTATCCTTGACTCTAACTCTAAATGGGATATAAAGCCCAATCGCAATTTCCCTGGTACTCCCTTTTTAAACCCCATATCTTTGACAGAGTAATAACCAGAGCAAATGTTGCAAATGCCTGATTACCCTTCAAGTTCGATGATACTGTTCCAAATGGAATCACTGATCTAGAGAACAAAAAAGGGTATCTTTTTATACAGCTGGTTGTTTTATTCATGTACATGTATATCTTGTCACTAAAACTTGAAAGTGTTTCACAAACCCGTCAAAATTACAAGTTCGCCAACAACCCATTTAAATGCGTGTATTAAACGTGTTTCAATGGGATGTTGTTGAACTTAAACTTTTGTGCGACCGGCGCTGTGGTTTTACTGTAATCTACAATGCTGTCTGATATATCTAAAGTGGATGTAGCATATATTGAGAGGAGCTAAGTGATTTCCTTTTGTTTCCTCCCTTCAGGATAAACTATTTGGTGCTGCAGGAGAAAGTGTTATCATAGAAGAGCTACTTGAAGGAGAAGAATTTTCAGTAAGTTGAGACACCTTGATTTTTAGCTTTGTATTTTTAAATAATGTTGAAATATGTGCGAGAGATAAAAGAGTTAGAGATTGAGGGAGGCAGTGATGGAATTTAAAGCTCTCTTACCTTAGTGTTAATGGAAATCTTTTTTGACAGTTACATGAACTGGCATTTTTGGCAGCAATCATTTTGATAAGATAAGAGTACAAGAGAGAGATTGAGACTGAGATAGATAAAGTGAGATATGATGATTATGCTGGAATATTTTATGATCAAGTTTAATATTGAGAGAGCGAGCTAAATAGAGATAGAGAGACAGAGAGAGGGAGTGAGGGAATGTTGATGGAATATTTCGTGATCAAGTTTTAATATTCTCTGTTACCTCCCAATGGCAGGTCCTGGCATTTTGTGACGGGAGCCATTTTGAAGCCATGCTGCCGGCCCAGGATCACAAGCGGGTCCGTGAAGGGGACCAAGGTCCGAATACAGGTGGGATGGGAGCATACTGCCCTTGCCCTCAGGTGAGTATCGATTGATGGAAGGAATTATCACCTACCATACTCGAGATCAAGTGTTAGGTCACATATTCATCTTTCTTCATTCTTGCATTCCGTATTCAATTTTGTTGTTGTTCATAACAGGCAGAAATTTGATTTGTGCGATATACCTGTATATGCTTTAAACTATATTAGGTTTCCTTACATCATTTGACTGATAGATCTTTGTTTGAAAGCGAGTCATGTCTTTTGGATGATTGTCGCTGAACGTCGGTCTGTAGATAATCAGACCTCATTTGTACATGCACATCAACTATTGAAACTCAATTACAAGCGCGCACACGCACATGTACTTATATATGTAATTGATTCTAAAAATGAGTTTTGGATACTGCACTTTAAGTTACAGTCTGAAAAAACGTTTTCTCTTTTCTTCTTTTTTACGCATTTCTTCCATCAGGTGTCCAGGCAAGTTCTGCAGCAGATTAATGAAGAAATCCTCCAGAGGGCAGTAGGTGGGATGAAGGAACAGGGAAGGCCATACAAAGGTGGGTTTTTTTGTCAGTGTTTTATATACATGTATAAGATATAACATATAATTATGATGTGCAAATAGAAAAGGGGAAATGAAGTTGTGCAGATCTGATTCAGTCAGATGGATCAGAACTAACTACGACAGAGTTTGGAACAAGAGTGAATGGAATAGAATGGATTAGAAAGGAAAGGAAAAGGAGAATTAGAGGAGATGAAATGACATAGGATAAAGTAACATAGATGGGCATAGATTATTATTGAAAGAGAGCTCAGAAGGTAATCATTGCAACTGTCCTTGCATCAAGAAATTTTACAAAACCTCATGATTTTCTATGAAAAGATATCGTCTGAGGTGATAATTCATCTGTCGTGAGTTGCACACAATATGATTCTGATGTGTGATTGTTTAAGCCGATATGCTACCTTTCTTGCATCCTATAAACATGTACGGAGGGCATACATAACAGTAGATTATATCCGTTTTAATCACCAAAAACATATTGTACCGTGAAACTACCTAACCTAAATGAACGTTTTCTGAATTCTGTTCATCTGTAGGAGTGCTGTATGCCGGTCTAATGATCACCAAAGATGGCCCCCGGGTTCTGGAGTTCAACTGTCGCTTCGGAGATCCCGAAACCCAGGTGGTATTGCCGTTGTTGAAGAGCGACCTCTATGCTACCATGAAGGCGTGTGTCGCGGGAGACCTGCCCAGTGCCAAGCCGAGTTTCCACGATGACCGTTGCTGCGTGGCGATTGTTCTGGCCAGTGGAGGATATCCGGCGTCGTACAAGAAAGGCTATGAGATCACAGGTGGGTTTAGCATGTCTTTAAAAGGCTTCTTTGTTCAATTTATTCTTTCAAGAAATGGTCGGTTCTGTGCTTCTGTGCTTCAGTGTACAATTTGCAATTGAAATAGAGTTTGGCATTTGGAATGATAGAAAATCTTTGCAGAGCTTTGAGCATCTTGCATCTTTAGTTGAGTTAGTAAATCACTCTATGGGACACTTCTACAAGATAATTTATGCAGTCCCGATGATGCCTTCATTGTTTAAAGCCAGTTGGTCTTCATATTCCATGTGCAGAAGGTCATATTTGGCTGACACTAGAGTTGGTGGAAATACTGTTAATGGGTGTACATGTCTGCAAACAGCGAATCCAAAGGTCAATCAAGTATACCCCCTCGTCTACGGGAGAGCCTTGTGTATTTGAAGATGCATATGTCAGATAATGACTTTACCACAAGGGGAGAAGACAAAGCATTACATAAAGCCTATTGGTCATAAAACTTGAGGCTAATCCTTGTGATTGACAACACTTTTTATTGGGCAAACACCTGAACAGGTTAGTTTCAAATTCCCCATGAGAGCCCACTTCTATCTGTCTTTAGAGCCCCAATGCACTACTTATAGCTACTTGCGCCCTCTATATAGCAAACAATGCCTTATCGGTGACCATTGGTCCCCCATGGTGCCCTTTTTCTTATGTTAAGTGAGGGCTGATTTGAGGAGATAACCTCTCATCCCTCCTGGCCAAACTAATGCAGATGGGCTTTAAATCATCTCATCTGTTCTGTTGCCTCTTAGGATTGGACGAGGTATCAAGCCAAACTGATATGATGGTCATCCATGCTGGCACTGCCCTCAAGGATGGGAAGGTCGTGACCTCAGGTGGGCGTGTCCTAGCAGTGGTATCCTCGGCAACGGATCTTTTGACAGCAGCTGCCATGGCTAATGAAGGGGCGAAGAGGGTCAAGTTTGATGGGGGCTTTTACAGAACGGATATAGCGAGGAGAGCGTGCAACTTCCTAGCTCAAAACAGGTTAGTGGAATTATTTAAATATATCTTAAGGGAGAGTACGATGCAGATAAAGACTAAAAGCAACCAATCAAACTTTGTGAGAACATTCAAATACATCGATGCTGTCACACACAGTGCGCAATCTTCAAGGCCTTGAAGCACACTTTCCTTGGAAGAAGAATACTGTAAGAAGGATATTCTTTAAATTTTAATTCAATTTATATTCATAGTTTGCATAATAATAAACCTTGACAGTGTTTGTACAGGTACAGTGAACAAAGCAAAATATGCAGAAGGAACGCTAAAATGCAAGTGCAGTGAGATATAAAGTTATGATGTCCTATTCAACCAAGGTCTAGAAATAGGTTTCGGAATTCTGTAACAAGTCATTTGTTGAACAAGTCATGAACGAAATATCAAGTTAAATAATTTGCATATGTACACAATTTATAGTTTACATTATTAGTTTGTATGTTGTTAGACATTGTTGAGTATTCTTGTTTCTTAAAGTATCGATTGTAATAATTAATTCACTATTTTTTTTTTTTAACGTTTTCTAAACTGATTTGTACCAAAATACTTTGTTTAGCTGTTTAACGGGTTAGGCTCGACTAGCACATGTGCTATTATCTAGCCCCTTTTACCAACTAATAGTTTCTCTTCTTGTATATGTAAAATCATTGTATGAAATGTATATGTATTACTTTTGGTAAATAAATCAAATCAAATCAAATCAAACCAATAAATAGCATCATAAAATAACTGGATGTTGACATTTGGCAAAAACATTGAAATTTATATACAGAAGTAAGCTTAGGGTAATACAAATACCCGGTATTCAAAGGAAATAGATTCTCTTGGCCCTTTCTCACAAATACATCTCGTTTCTATTCACAGATCACCAGGCCTAACGTACAGTGGCAGTGGGGTCGACATTACTGCTGGTGATTCTTTGGTCCAGGCCATCAAGCCTCTAGCCAAGGCCACGGCCAGGGCGGGATGTGATGCTGCCCTCGGGGGGTTCGGAGGCCTCTTTGACGTGAGGGCGGCTGGCTACAAGGACCCTATCCTTGTGTCGGGTACAGACGGTGTGGGGACGAAATTGAAGGTGGGTTTAATGGTTGTTTCAAGCCTCAACAAAGTTTTTAAGGATGCTAAGAAAAGGTTCTATCCTTGTGTCGGGTACAGACGGTGTGGGGACGAAATTGAAGGTGGGTTTAATGGTTGTTTCAAGCCTCAACAAACTTTTAAGGATGCTAAGAAAAGGTTGTACCGGTAATTTGTTATTCTGTTAGAAGTTGTGCTGTTGATTCGATATTATCAATAGTTGTGTCTTGAAATAGCCTGTGATAGGGTTAGTCTAAGCCTAAAAACTTGAAGAGAATTTAAAGAAAAGGTTCTTGAAATTGTTTTCTAATAAATTTTGCTGTCTTTCTGTAATCTAATTGTTTATTTGTTTTATTCTTTCCAATTAATGTCATCAGTTCTTGGTTGCTCCAAGGAAGAGAAAGAGCACAGGGAAGATGACAGGGTGTCTTGTAATACTCTTCCCAACTTTAATGTTTCATCAGTGATATCCAGATCAATCACTCTTGATCATCCCCCCCCCCCAATATATATTATATTTCTATTTTCTAAAATTTAGAAATTCAATGCTTAGCCCTTATGGGGATCAAATGTAGTTAGGTGTCCAAATATGGCAAAATAAACCCTTTTTACTCGTGAACTTTGGGAAAGTACATAACTGATTAAGCCATCGTTAAAAATGTCACATTCCTCTAAAAATGCATTTCAAATCCGTCTGACATGGAGTTATTATCACAGGCTTGGTAGTTGACAGGTAAAGAAACTTTGATTACGAAGCTAAATTTGTCATTTTCCGATTGCAGATTGCTCAGGCCTGCAACCTTCACCAAACCATAGGCCAAGACCTAGTAGCCATGTGCGTGAATGACATCCTAGCCCACGGCGCAGAGTCTCTCTTCTTCCTGGACTACTTCTCGTGCGGCAAGCTAGAGGTGGGTGTGGCCAGGGACGTGGTTGGAGGCGTGGCCGAGGGATGCAAGATGGCCGGCTGTGCCCTGCTGGGTGAGTGGATCAATCGGCTCAATTAGAGAAAACCCATCAAGGCAATTTATTAGGGTTAGGGTCAGGGTTAGGTCTTAGTAGTAGAAGACTATAACTTGTTTAGCACAGGGCTAATCTTCCACAAGGTCCATCTGGGTATACTGGTATACTAGGGTGCGCAGGTGGACCACTACACCGGGGTTTCCCCCTACTCTTATACAAATAGTGCAGTGGGTCCTTAACGTGCAAAGGTGGTGACTCTCCTCTACACGGGGTCCTATCCGAGGGACGGCATGTTTTCCACCTAACATAGCCTGCGTCTTTGAAACGAGGGGAGGGGCAAGTTTACACACAACGCAGGCTTCAGTCATCTGTCTTGGTGGTAACATCAAAGATACTTGTGTAGTAGGTATTCTGTAATTGTTCTGATGAATCCTCCAGTGTCGTTGTAAACAAGAAACAATGACTTCTTCAGAAATTTATGGTTTGTAGCTACATCCTCAATATCATATGTGCTCAGAGCTAGAAGGGTGTTATGTTATATGATTCGACAAAGATTAAATGCCCTTTTGGCTCTGAACAAACAGTATATGATATATGTTGCCCTTGTATTCTATTTTGTTATTGGTTAATTATTCAAATTAAATTGAATGTAATTCAATAAACAAACTATCAATCGCCATAGAGGTGAGGTAGGTAAAATAGTGTACATGTTTCTGTAACGCTTTGATGAGTAGATGTGCATCAACTGTTACTTTTGTTGCCTTCCCATTACAAACCTTTCTTCTCCAAATGCCCAAACTGGCACCGATTCATTTTACATCTTATATATGTAGGAAACAAATGATGATGTAATGGATGTACGCTTGATTTTCTTTTTAGGAGGCGAAACTGCAGAGATGCCAGGGATGTACGCCCCTAACGAGTACGACCTGGCGGGGTTCACTGTGGGGGCGGTAGAGAGGGGTCACATGCTCCCGAGGACGGACGAGATCCAAGTGGGGGATGTTGTCCTGGGCGTGGCATCATCAGGTATCCATAGCAACGGGTACAGTCTAGTGAGGAGGTTGGTTGAGCAGGAGGGACTGGACTTCAGGGACCCGTGCCCCTTCAAAGAGGGAGCCATATTAGGTAGATGAAGTATTTTGAAAGGAAGTGTCAACAGCCTTGAAAATCTCCTGTTGAGAAATTTTGAAGCTCTGACTGTAGGCCTGTCTTCATCAGACCAAAGTTGCAAAATAAACCGCTACTTTCAGACTCTGCATATTTTCCCGAAGCTCGAAATTGCGTTTCACCAGACCAATGCACATCAAAAAGTAGGGTTCGAATTAGCTCGCTATTTGAGAAATAGCAGGCTATTTTGGAAACAAGACCAAGATTTCTCAGGATATTTTCTCGACCAAATAACCCACTAATTGCAACTGCGAGCTGCTGAGGACATCAATTAGCTGGCTAATTTGAGATCGGGCTATTTGAAAGAGCAGGTTATTTTGCAACTTAGGTCTGATGAAGACAGGCCTACTAAGGATGCTCTGTAATTCCAGAATCCACTGAGACCAATACTGGATATGTGCTCATGGAAGCCTATGTAATCATTCATTTATGCACCAACACTGATTTCTATGGCACACAGGTAGAACCACTCTGTTCAAAGTGCAAAACAAATCTTAGTCACAAAGTACCTTCATCACTTCGGAAGTGATAATTCCAAAAAGAATGAAGTGTGACCATTCCATATTGAAATGATTTGTGGATATTCACGGTTATCTCTTCCCATGTGCTAACTATGAATTGGTCTACTATGGAATGACAGCATTTATTTGCCTGAATTGAAAATTAATATTTGATATACAGGTATGCTGAAATCTATCTTCTTTCATATCATCTTTTCCATTCAGGTGAAGCTCTCCTGACCCCAACCAGAATCTACTCCAAGACCCTGCTCCCGGCCGTCCGGTCCGGCCACGTCAAGGCCTTCGCCCACATCACCGGAGGGGGCCTCCTGGAGAACATCCCCAGGATAATGCCCAGGTCCATGGCCGTCCAATTAGATGCCTCCAAATGGGAGATTCCATCCGTGTTTGGGTGGATCTCACATCACGGAGGGGTGGAGGAGCTGGAGATGGCTAGGACGTTTAACTGCGGGATCGGGGGCGTGCTGGTGGTGAGAGCGGAAGATGAGGGCGCTGTTTTAGAGATGGTGCGGCTGAACGGAGAGAAGGCCTGGAGGGTAGGGCAGGTGGTGCCCAAATGTGGAGGTGAGTCTGACCAACCAACTACTTCTTCTTTTTCTTCCAGGGATGCTAGTTCTCAGGCTTTTACCTCGTTTCAGCCCCATGTTCTTTTTAAGCCTATTTTACGGTTTTATATTGTAAAGAAATACATGAAGCTGTAGCATATCTGAATCTGTTTTGTGAAATCAACTAGAATCTCAGTTTTTCTGTTGAGTTGAAATTGCGCTGAAGACATCTTTCATACTGTAGCAATTTTTGGAAATCATGAAAGTGATCCGAGATGTTGTCACTTCTTAATGATCTAGGCCCTGTTTCATAAAAAGTGTAAACAAATAACAAATGCTTAAATTTCTATGACGAATATTCCCCACCAATCAATTGCCACGATTTCAGTAGCTAACAACAGTTATTGTAACTTTCGTTTGATAACAAGTTTTATGAAACAGAGCCCTGGTACTCCTCATTCAAATGTCAGCATTGTGTATGTAAATTTACTTCTTGAAGTGGGGTTGTGAGAATGAGAAATTTATAAAGCCAGACATGAATATTTCGTTATTCACACAATTTAATTTCAAGTGTATATATTGTTGTTACAATTTGTGGTGGGAACTAAGATATTTGTTTTAAAGAGTGTAAAATAGAAGTTAGCGTTACAAACATATATGTTTCTGTTTACTATGTGTTATCTTTAACTCTGTTGTCTCTCTCTCTCTCTCTCTCTCTTTGAATGCTAGATGGAGCAGCGGTATCAATAACCAACCTTTCCTCCTCCCTGGCTCGGTGTTACTCCCCTGCTATGAATGGTGTCCAGGAGGGTGGAGAAGAGAAGAAGATGAGAGTAGCTGTCCTCATCTCTGGAACAGGTCAGTCTAAAATCATTAAATCTTGAAACCTTACTCTTCTGAAATTTTAAGCCAATTAAGGGTTTGTTTGCTATCTTACAAAGCAACTGGGGCAGTTTAACCTCATACCCAGGACACGGCAACCACAAGAACAATCCACTCCTCTGCTGCCCAGAGGTTCGCCGTAACCCTAGGCACCTCATTGGAGTGCTATCAACTGGTCCAGTTTATATCCGGGAAGCAGTTTAAGGTTATACCCAGGACTAGGTGGCATCCTTTACCAAGTCATCATGCAATTAGTGTGAGAAATGGATGGTTTGATTAGAGGACTTGCGATTGATTCATCTTCATAGGACGGGGCTCAGAACTTGACTTTCATCTTCGAGGATATGGAATAGATGATTCATCATGTTCTGCAATGAAGTCATGTGTTAAGATACATGTTTCTTTCATTTTTAAACAGGAACCAATCTACAGGCTCTCATCAATCACACCAAGGATCCTAACAAGAATTCCAAGGCAGAGATATGTCTAGTGATATCAAATATTCCTGATGTATTGGGGCTAGAGAGGGCACAAAAAGCTGGTATTCCAACCAAAGTAAGAAGATTATCTATCCATTCTCTGTAGATGATCTAATCTTTTTCCTCTTCCATTACACATTCTTTTCAATTCCTCTCCCTTTATCTCTCTTGCCCTCCCCCCCCCCCCCCAACCCTCTCTTACTCTCCTCTCTTTCTCTGTCTCTATTTGTTTGTCTGTATCTTCGTCCCAGTCATTCTATTCTTTTCTTTTTTCCTTTTTTTGACAGTTCTCTCATGTTATCAATTATTCTTCCTTGTACTCCATTTCCTCCCCCCCCCCCCTCATTTCTCATTGTGCATTCTTCAAATAAGTTAAAGGCAATGTTAGACATCACTATTATCAGACAAATTGTCTTGCATTGAAGCTTTGAAACTTTTTTTGCACAATTTAACGACCGCAGAAGAATTTTCATTTTGTGTAAAAAAAAATTGTTAGCTATGATTACAAATAAAACAGTCACGGAAGACTTTTTAAAAAGAGTCAACTTTGACTCTGCAAAGTCCTCAAAATAACTAATATTGAACTTGTTTTCAAACATTTTCCTTCTAAACAGGTTATTAGTCACAAGGGACTTAGCAGACAAGACTTTGACATGAAAATCCATGAAGTGCTCCAAGCAGCTAACATAGAATTCATCTGCCTAGCCGGTTTCATGCGTATTCTCAGCGGTGAGTTTGTCAGCCGATGGCGCGGTCGACTCATCAATGTTCATCCTTCGCTCTTGCCATCCTTCAAGGGAATGAATGCTCATAAATTGGTCTTAGAGGCTGGAGTGAGACTATCAGGATGCTCGGTTCATTATGTAGTGGTGAGTGTTGTGATCGTTTCCCTTTACCCTGTTAAAGATTAAATATGTAGCCGTTACCTCTATGTGTGTGGCTCTTCTCTCCCACTCTCTCTCTCTCTCTCTCTCTCTCTCTCTCTCTCTATCTCTCTGTATATACAGTCAGACCTGGTTTAGCGACCACCCGTCTACAACGACCACTTTTCTTGTCTCCCTTGGTTGGTCTTTATAGACAGGTTTCACTGTATATATCTCTACCCCATCCCATTCTCTGCTTTCACTGATTTTAGCTGTATTGGAACCTCAGCAAACAACCCGTGGAATAACTATCAAACATTCATCATAAACGGGTTGTAAAATTGGATCAATAAGTTACCAGAAGACAAATTTTCTTTGTTATGAGTGATTACCATGATGGTATGATATGCTCTTCACATCGATTTAGTTTTAGTGACCAATTTTGTTTTAGATGCTGCTTGTAAGTGTCGGCTTGCATGGTGATGTAGATATACAGTATGCTTGCGGGTGCACCATGTGAGAGAGAGAGAGAGGATTGAGAAGTCTTGAAAAGGACTCCTCAGTAATCTTTCTTGGGGGTGTGTAGTCCTGAAAAGGACTGTTTGTTATCTTTCTAAGCTTATAGTTCTAAGGAGAGGATGGGTGGCTCGACGTTTCTGAGTCAGAGTCCTTTTCAGGACTCCTCAATCCTCTCTCTCTCTCTCTCTCTCACATGGTGCACCCGCAAGCCTACTGTATAATTTTGTTTAATTAACATTTTCTTAAATAATTATATCTACAGGAAGAGGTGGATGCTGGAGCCATCCTAGTTCAGGAGTCCATCCCAGTGTTGCCAAGGGATACAGAGTCCACTCTCCAAGAGCGTGTGAAGACGGCCGAACACGTCGCCTACCCCCGCGCTCTGGAGCTGATCGCTAGGGGTCAGGCCTCGCTGGGGTCAGAGGGCAAAGTTGAATGGAAGATGGACTCGTAGCATGACATAATTATATAATATGGACTGGCCTTGAGGGAGATACCACATAATATTTCCCAAACTAGACTCGTATTGCCCCGAGTCAAAGACAAGGGCAATATGGTTCTTGTGAGGGAAATATATGAGGTATCTCTCGAAAGTTAAGCCAGTCAATATTGTTATTATTTTCTAAATCAGACATCTAGAGCAAATACATACATGACAATCTCATAGAACTGAACAAGCTTTGTCAAACCAGCACTGTGCATCCAGCTGCTTGACAAAATTTTCGATACACTGCAAACAGTGTACCCAATTAGGTGTGATTATTACGTCACAATAGAGTACGCGCAAAGTGCGCAGTTCTCGTACGCATAATAGATGCGCAATGAAAATGACCAACTTCGGCGCAGTGAATATGGTCTTATATTTCATGCTTTTTTAACACGTAATGTCCATAGGCTTTTTCATGAAAGGTAAATATGGTCTCATATTCCCCGATTAGCCCTTTTAGGATTACCAGCAAGTGTAATATGATTTTGTAAAACCACTGCTCAGATGTCTGATATGGGTAATAATTATGCGTATACAGTGAAACCTGTATGTAAAGACTGCTTTATATGGGAGACACGAAATTGGTCTTTGCAGGCAGTTGATCTTTATGTACAAACGTTCCTTTAGTACATGTTTCAATGACAAAACACTGTTTAAGGGAAACTGAAAATGTGGTCTTTGTGGACAGGTGGTCTTTCTAAACAGGTGATCGCTAAAGCAGGTTTCACAGTACTTTGTATACACACAGCCTTTTTGTTAATCAAGTAATAAAAATATATCTGTAATTTTGATGATAAGAGAGTTTCTTCCAATCATTCCAATGAGTGAAAAAGATATCTGAAAAAATGTGAATAAGGTTCTTGAGACCCCAATTAGGTGTACTTGAGTTGATAATGTATAAATATATGAAATATGGAAAGTTACCATTATTTGCACACAAAGTGTGCTCATTTTGTATGTATTGCCAGCTGAATTTAGTTATAGGTCGTTTCTTTTCATATTTTGGACAGTAAACTGAAATACATTAAACAGAGGGAGACAGACACTATTTATTAGGGAATCTGATGACACACAAATTGGAAAGTTGCACGTTTGCTCATTCCCAGTACATGCATTCTCTATCACTCTCTCTCTGCCCACCCGTTTGACAATTTGCCTTTGCTGGGAGATTTTGCGTAAACTCCCTTTTTCTTTTGAAAGGATTTGTTTTCCTTCCATTTGTTAATGTACATAATCGTTACCTTTGCACTTAGCTATGTCGAAGGAGAAAATCAAAATGTGTTGTGTATGTCATAGTGTTCAAAACACAGTATTTGTTATATTTTTGTTATGATGCAAAAGAGCAATATCTTTTTTTGCTTGGGGGGGGGGGGGGGGGAGGGAGTAGCCCATCCTTTTTTTTCCGTCGATGCTATCTTTATTAAAGTTGACTGGTCAGATTATGTGTTGTGCCAAGAAGGAAAGGACAGTAGAAGCATAATGTTGTGAAAAGGTGAAAGTTCAATGGTCATCACTGGAAAAAGAAACCGGGAACTGCATACTGTTTACCATGGGTTCAGAACATTAACCCCCATATCTTCTGAAATAACACCTTACTCTCAATACACTTGGAAATTCCCAATATCAACCTCCGGGGTACGAAACCCAAATTGAGATTCTATGAGAAAAGTTAGCGTATGGAAGATGGTGCTAGACCCTATCCTTAAAGGTACTATGTCCCTTTTGCAGCCAACCTCAAATTCTGTAGAACTTTGCAGGAATTATGAATATGTCATGTCAGACACTATTGAGTGACTGACTGGCTTTTTTTCTTCGTTGGTAATAACATACATGAAAAGAGTTGTAAAGGGTATTGAGCATGAGCATTTGTCTACATCAATAACCCACTTCTTGTGATGGCCAAGATTAAACTGATTGATTCTTTGCGCAGCATAAAACGTATGACCATTCGGTACATTTGTCTGAAAATCAAGACTATTACTTTTGGGCTCTATAGCCCTAAAGTCGATTTAAAGTAGATATTCATTGATTTTAAATCTAGCTTTATTTTCATTATTGCAAAGTTGAAACTTTGATTCGACAAGGTTATCAAAATTCAATGCTTGGAAACCAGGCCTGATAAAAACCCGATTTAAATCGGTTTCCCGATTTTTTTTATTTTTCCCGATTTTTCCCGATTTTTTTTTTCTTCCCGATTTAAAAAAAAAAAATTTTTTTTTTTTTTTTTTTTTTTTTTTTTACCAGATTTTTTTTTCTTCCCTTTTTTATCCTGATTTTCCTGATTCCCCCCTTATTTTCTCTATTCTTCCCTATTTTGCCCTATTTTATTCTCCCAATTTTCTTAATCGAAAGGGGGGAATGTTGTTAGATGCCGTTTTTTCCCCGCGAATCGCCTTTTTTTTTTTTTACTCAAGGGGGGCGTGGTTGAGGGGAAAACAAAAAACCTATTTTTTTTTAGTGCTCACTATCACCCCTGGGAAACATTCGAAGTAATGATTATTATAAATTACAAAACGCTTAAATACAGCCCCGGCATAGCACCTAAATAGCTCTCCGAACGCTGCTGAGATGTGTGAGATCACAGCAGGGACATGATTTGCACAAGCAGACGATGTCCCATGACATCTCACACATTTTCAGTGCCTGTGTTTTCATCTTCTCTTGAGTTCTTTCTCTTACTTCACTACCGTCAGGCTAAATGTATAATCTATTGCCTCACTCTAAACCCCGCGCATGGTTTTATTTTGGTGACAAATGCAGCGATACAAAAATAAAGGAATCTGTCGCTTGTAAACAAAATAAGACGCCATTGTATATTCAGCTGCACACACCGGGGTATGTTCGGCGTTTCAAGAGGGAACACATGCCGTCCTTAATATCAATCCGGGGGCTTTTCAATTTGAAAGTCTGGTTTATTTGATTGTTAATTAAACCCTATCCTGAGTATTTACAAGCAAAAGATTTTAGTTATCAGAATCGGGTCATGTCCCCTTTTGATCGGTTTGACATGCCAATCCATTTATATACACTAAACTCATTATAATTTGAGAAATAATAGCTTTGCAATTATGTTCATTCTTTATGGGATGTCGTCTGCTTGGGCAGTATTGGTCCCTGTTATGACGTCATTAAAACATCGTTATTTTTCTGGCGAATCTCTCGTATATCCTAGCTGCTATGGAGGTGGTTGTATTTTTATTTTTATAAATCACCCGATATGTAGTTGACCTCAAACTTGTACGATTGTCATCTGTTAGCTAACCAGTTTTTAGTGATACATTAGTTGACATATTTGTGATTTTTTTTTAATTTCACCTTTAACAACTAATAGTTGTTATTTTCCCACTTGAAGACATTTTCAAGCCCCACCTTTTTTAGGGAAGTTCTAAATTAGTATTATCTTTCAAATGCAGTTGGAATTTGACTTTTTCATTTTTTTGGCCTGCAAAAGGGACATAGTACCTTTAAAGAGGAAAGTCCACCCTGATATTAATTTAGTTATTAGTAGAAGCAACTAAATGAGAGGAACCGGTCAGTGAAAGTTAACAATAAGAATTTTTTAAGTTGCGATTGATCAAACACACAAATTGGCGACCCTGTGACGTAACTTGCGAGGTCCTCTCCAATTGATTGATCGCAACTTCAAAAATTCATAACTTTCCTATTTTCAATCGGACTTTACTCTAGTTAACTTTCACCGACCTGTTCTCCTTTTATCAAAACCAACTCAATATCAAGGTGAACTTTCCCTTAAAGCTGCCAAAAAGCATGTCTCTGCTGTATTGTACTTGATATGAGATAATGCTATTTTTGTTCTAAATGGACAACATTAAAAACTGAAACTAAGGAGAGTTCAGGGAGTTGGCTGGCATCTAATAATCTAAATGCATCGTTCATGCTGCGTGCCAAGTATGTATAAAGGTGGGAGCATTTTTAAAATGAAATATCTTCACAAAGTTATCGAAGTACAAAACTCAAACTGAAATAGCTGCATTTTACCATATCTTAATGCAGTTCTGGGCCTCGTTGCATAAAACTTACCATCGATGGTAACTTTGCCATCAAAAGCAACTACCATGGTAACAGGGCTCAACAGCCAATCAAAATCAAGGTTTCCATGGTAGTTACCATTGATGGCAAAGTTACCATCAATAGCAAGTTTTTTGCAACGGGCCCCGGGTTCACTCTGTTGAAATATATAGTATTGAATCTTAATAAATCATTTGTATGCCTCATTTATTTTTGTACCTGTTCGTATTCATTCGCACAAATAGACGACTCCATATTTATTTACTGCTGTTTGTGTCATGCTAAATGGTCTATTGTCTCCTGTTTGTGAATAGGAAACAGGATTACAGTATTTTGCATAGAGTGTTATTTTTTTTTTTTCTTTTAACACTTTTTGATCAACATTAGATCAGGAATTCCTTGTGGAAAATTGGCAACTTCAGAAGAAAGATTGCAGTTTCATCTTCATGTGTGCTGGTTAATGTTGCCTACAATGTATTGCTGAATGTTTGGTCATTTGTTTCAGTGCACATGCTTTTGTTTACATCAATAAAATACAAACATTGCCCATTTAATCTTTGCCATCTCTGTATTCCTTTTTTAAATATTTTTGAGGCAGCTTGAAAAGGGGAATGAAGCTCCTTTACCAAGTTACCGGTAATATGAATTGGAGAAACAAAATAGTGGAAATTGAGATCACTAATGACACAGGGCACTTCCATTTGGCAATGTGGTAGTGATATACACTATGAGTAATTTGCTTCTCCATTGTGTAAAATAAGCCTTTGGGTGTTCTTTCCTTCTCCATATAAACTTGTATCTATTCTTTTTTTAATCGTGGAGAGAAACGAGATCCAATAGTTGTGTACTTACTGCCCATGCTTCATCAAATCAAGTAAAATATGTCGGTTCCAGCGTCAACTTGAGAATATTATATTTTTACTAAATTTATCTACACAACAAACCGAGTACATGTATGGTGCAGTTCAGATTGTCTCATGTCACAAACAATTGCCATTTGTGCTCTCATCTTCTTACATTATTTATTTATTTATGTTTGGTTTTGGGAGGGGGGGGGGGGGCATTGTCCACTACTATTCCCAAATTTGGTTTTCTGATTTTTCTTGAGTGCTATACAACCCCAGACATTGAAAATGTATTGGAAATTGGCGTCATAGATCAGAGTTTGAAAAATTCATGCTAATGACCCTCCCACAAATTTCTCATTCCCAGTTTGATCCCTTGGCCATCTTCATTTTAGGACGCATCTCAACAATAATATCTATGCCCCAGTGATTACACTTCTCTGATATCAGTGGCACAAGAAGGGATGGAGGAAGCATCCATAATGTTTGATTGAAATGATCAAGGATATCATTGTATCGTTTAAGAAATTAGTGAGGTCTAACCACTTTTATTATTAATGTTGAATGATAGTAAATGCATATAGTTCATTGTGATTAGTCCAGTCATACAAACCCATCAAGTTATTAGTATTGATAGTTCCACCTCCCTATATCTATTCCCTATTGCAATGATCTTTTTATCCCGCATATCAAATATCCAAAAGAAATAAGACTCAAAATGAAGAAACACAAAAGAACAGCACACAAGTGATATTTTCCGTGATATTTACAATTTTATTTCATGTTGACGTATAAACTTGTGTTATCTTGTTACAGGCAATGTACAGAAACAAAAAAATGTACTGTATACTTCATCAGCCTATACAATATTCAATCTCCCAAACACACCTGGTTAAGGAATTACACAACTTAAATTTAAATTCTCTTTTCTTCATCAAACGTCAAGAGATTCCATGTCTAGAAACATACACATTGAAAAAAGATTTGTCTAAAACTACATTAGGTACTACACACAAAAAACCAATGAAATTTTCCTCTGTAAAGTTTTTTTGTTTTTCATAGACAGTTGCACATAGGACCAACGTAAGATGTACACTGAACTAAACTAACTTCCAAGATGAAACATATACACAAAACATAAAAGAACATATCAAAGTACGCACAAATCAACAGGTTCAGTTCAACGTCATCACTTTTCACTAAATAAAACATATATTACATATCTGCCTCAAGTATAAATCAAAAACACCTTCTCATAGTACAGTTATCCGATCTTTACAATGAATTACACTTGTATCATGAAAAGGCAAATGTTTTCTTTTCTCTTTATTTTGATCATTTCCTCAGGTAAAATGAAGACAAATTAATCTGGTCAGCAAGAAATATCTGGCTCTTCAATTTTTTTCTAGAACCTCCTGCAGCTAATTGCGATTCAATGGAGTCGCCTACGTACATGTACACATCCACACCCCTGCTATGCATTCTCAGCAGGCATGTGTCATTTGAATTATCAAAAATCTTTACAACGAAAGAATAAAATTTATACAAATCAAACTGCGTTTGAATCCTAGAAGACATCTCAAATTCTAGAAGACGACTGCAGAATTCTCTCAAAGGGGAGAGAGAGAAAGAGAGGGAGATAGATAAAGAGAGAGAGAGAAAGAAAAAATCCTTTTGTATGTAATGAAAGCACCATGACAAATTCCTCCTTACAAATTTTTGCTGGAACAAATGCTTGTGAGAAAAACAATGACAAAAAATTCATGTCTTACAAAAATAGTCCTATACACAATTCATCTACAAACCTTCCTCCACAAACCAGTCCCAATCACCCCTCTATCCCAAATAAGTTTGTTTACATCGCTAACCACATCACTCTCGGCTTCCAGGCAGTCGTTTTTAGTTCATATTCAATTCATCCACAGCGGTGCAAGTCTAACTACTGCTCGTTAGTAAGCAATGAGTTTCCTCTACTCAAAAGTTGAACAGGTGCAGCTAACATATATATTATAGATTCTGGGTCGTTACCGTTAGCACTTCTTATTCTTAGTCAATTCCATGATCCATGATTCTTTGATTATTAATTTAACCACACAGCAGCAAGCAGCAGCACATACCATTAAATTAAATTAAATTAAGTACAAAATTAGATCCATATATTAGCTGTCAATTTTAATATCTGTGCAAATTATAAATTAGTCTCTTGGCTATCCTATCCCTCAACGATTAGATAACTTACAATTCCAATTTTTTTCAGCTTTTCCCACAGAATTCATTAGGATGTGAAAAGGCTCATATGACCTGTAATTGGAAAATAAACTAAGCCTTAATTACTGTCGTCTCTTCTTCTAGACTTTAACCTACACCACTGCTTACTTGATAACATAAACAACTTGGTTGCTTTAAGTCAAATACAATACTCCAATGTCTCTGGAACTACTGATTAAACACTTATCCTCTTTGTTTGAAGTTGCCCCAAAAGTCAAACTCAAATACAGTACTCCTATATGTTTCTGGCTCTTCTTTTTAAAGCTTTTCCCTCTTTGACAGCACAATATAGTGAAATGGTATCATGTTACATCTTTAATTTTGTCTCTATACAAATAGCTTATGCTTGAGCTTGCTATTATCATTGCAATTAATTTTCTTACATTCTGAATAAAAAATTAAAATTAAAAATAAACAAAGGAACATCCCGCATCTGCACAGATTTATTGGGATTATGCTTTAATTAAAATGAGTCTACCGCCTCTTCCCCCCAACAAGATGATGATATATCAGACACAGTATGAATTGGTAGTCTTTCTTTCCAGGCACTTGTGTTATTGCAATGCTCCAACTGACCTATTAAACAGTTCATATCAAGCCTCCGAAACACTGCCTAAACCAACTGAGATCATTACATATCAGTAGCAATGCATTTACATCTTTGCAACAGCTTGGTTGGATTCTTGAACACAGTGTGTTCAATCTGATTTGTAATTCTTAAGACCAACCAAAAAATAAAATAGACATTCATACAAATAAATTGTATATAAAATGGAATGAGAAAATAAAAAGATGGGACCTGGGTTTGAACAGAACCACAGGCTCAAGTTCATAGCAAATGAAAAATGTAACATTTAAAGGAAATTCAATACATATTTAAAGGAGGATTGCACTACTTGACATACAATTGAAGCACCGTTAATAGATTAATTAATTTGGCGTTAACCACGAAACACCTTAATTAAAGAGTAATGAATTGTCATTCATTTTGGTTCCATTCCATTTCCCATGCACAGGAGATGACAAGAAGCATATCAACAAAAACGGTACAACCTAGGGTAAAATTGAGTTCTGGTAACAAGAGAAATGTTCATGGGATCAAACCACACTTCCATTGAATGTGCAAGACTATTGATCAACATTCAAGATGTATTTGGTAGAAATTATGTAATAGCACAGTTTTGATGCAAAGGATGAAGTGAAAATTGGGCAATTTGTCCCATGTGTCAACCACTAGAAAAAGTGGTCCTGTTAAACATTTTGGTAGTCTCAATAACCCACAAAACGATTCAGAATGACTATGAGCAAATTTTTAATGCAATGCAATGCAATTACCAGATTTCAAGATTAACATTACAACCTAGGCAGGAAGGCAAGGAGGGTTTTCACAACAATGCGCATTCAAATTGCATTCACAGCTTACAAGGTATCATACTATCGTTTATATTTACCAAGGTCTTTCATTTACATTTTTGCACTGAAAGGGAGCATTTTTATCACATGGAGCAGGACATTTGAACAAATTCATTAATAAACTATTTTTAAGCTACACAGTAGCATAAAATGAAAAGAATTAGAAGAAAAAAAAGGAAATTGCAGTAACCTTCAAGACCTCTGTGACAATTACAATCGAAGAATGTCAATCGGAATGTTGTAATTACATCAGTACCACCTCCTAGTAATCTACCAAAAAGATTTGAACTAATAGTCTAAAAAATCTTTGGCGATAAAAAAGAAGAAAAAAAAGAAGCCAGATTAAAAATATATTTGAATGAAACGACACTTGTTCACCACAATTTAAGAGAGCGAGACTTCTGTCGCGTTCACAGCATCTTCACAATTACGAGTCAAAGAAAATGAATCTATAATATGACAAATTCTTCAACAGAGTTCATCTTTAGAAGGGATTTTGGTCAAAGTGCCAATTCGAATAACGCACTTGCTACTCTCTCCTTGACTTCGGAGTCTAAGAGAGGTGACATGGAGAGATTAAGCAGTCTGTTCTGGTGCTGAAGGAAGAGAGCCTTGTTGGCTGGGATTCGAGCCAAGCTTGCAAGGGCATCAGCGGCCCTACGCATCATGTCGTGACTGGGCTTGGCTAGGTCAGGGTTTATCATGTGAGGCGTGTTCTTCTCGCAGGACATGGTATACTCGCTATCCTCAATGTAGCGCAAGAGGAATGAGACGATAGAGTTCTTGGTGGCGATGGCACGGCTGGCCTTCATGTCCGACCTAGCTATATTGCTGAGAAGGACTAGCGAGAGCTCCCGCATGACTGGATCCGAGCGTTCACCGAGGTACTGGGTCAAGGTGGAGTAGAGTCGCTCAAGTCTGTGGAACGGCGGAGTGGCAAGGATCATGTCCACGTTATTCTCTTGGATACTAAGCTTCGCGAGAGCCTCGATGGCCAATCTCTGAGGGGTTAGAGGCGAGTCGCTGGACATGGTCGGGAAAGGATCCAGGGCACATGCAGACACACACACCGCCCAATGCAGAAGTCCATCCAGCATGGGTAGAGTCACGCTTTCAACGTATTTCGACATGTCGAGGACACCACCCAAGTTGGTGATGGTGACCAGTGCATTTTCCCGCATGCACTCGAGGTAATCGGACCACCAACGATGAGAGTTGGTGATGGGGCACTCTAGATCCAGGTCTTCCTGGTCATCACGGTCGTAGGTTTGTGGCAGCTCCTTCCTGCGAGGATGACTATGATGTAGAAGAAGGATGCGGCTAAGCACTGTAATGAGACCAGGATGTTTAGCCATCTCCTGATCATTACCTGGTATGAAGGACAAGCTCCGAATAATGTTGGAGACACAGACGCAACGCTGTCCAAACGATGTTTGCACATCGGACGTCGTCACCAGTGAAGGGGTATCATTGACAAACTGCTCTTCATCTTCCAGCACTACTTCCCCATTCTTCTTCTGCGATTCAGACACATATGTAACATGCTTCTCCTCCTCTGCTACATCGATGTCCCTGATTGCCTTCAGTTCTTCGCTACAGTGTCTTAACCACTCTATGGTCGTCCGTCTTGCATCGTTATTCTCTTTGTCCTCGTCCGATTCAATCCTCTCAAAAACACACAAAATATGCTTGGTCATTTCTCCCCCGCCTTCCTGCCAGTGTAACGAACCAGCATCGAACCCTTCGTGCACATCCCACTCCTGGTGGTTGCGGAAGAATCCACTTTGAACTCCATCAAACTTGATGGGTTTTGTTTTGTCCACACCACGCAACCTCTCCACATCAGCACAATCTGCTGCTTCCTCAAGAAGCTCTGCTTCAGTCTTATCCGTTGTGCTTTTCTCATTATCCTCCTCAACCTCGTTCTCCTTGACTTCATTCTCCTCAACCTTTTCCTCCTCATCCTCTTTCTCTTCCTTGATCTCTGTGTTTGAACATTGGATGCTACGATCCAATTGGCTTTTAGTCCTAATTTCAAGATCTTCAAAGCAACCAAACATCTCAATAAGGAGAGCTCTGTAGTGTTCACAGACAATTTCCAAGAGTCCTTTCATTTGCTTGAGATCAAAGTACATAACAGTGTTGTTGTCAAAGAGCAGGACACTCAGAACTTCCAGAGCCCAGGTGGTCTCTGCTAACAGGCCCGACTTCAAGGACATCATCAGTTTCCAAGCCTCCACAGCACCTAGCATAACAAAGGAAACACAAAAAGTGTGTGAAGTCAAAATGTTCTCAAGGAAAAGAGAGACCAAGATATGGATCCTGAAATTCACATTCCTAATACCTCTGTCACAGCTACAAGCCAACTCTATACACCCAACAAATTCTTGGCCATTTAGGATAATGTACATTTTGTTCAGTCTGCTGATGGTCTGGGGCCCAGTTTCATAAAACTTTTTATCTATAACAAATGATGAATTTCTATGATAAATTTGCTCTCAGCCAATCAGATGCCTTGATTTCAGTAGCTTATAACAGTAGCTTGTAACTTGTTATTGATATCAAGTTTTATGAAACAGGGCCCTGGTGTCGGGTCTCTTTGGTGTGACCGAGGGGTAAAAGAAGGGACTACCAAAACAGAACTTCACCTATTTGGTGTGAATTACCTTCAAACTAAATTAATTGGGATTGTAGATGTCATGAAGACTGTAAAACAACTTTTAACACCCAAGGACTTCATGTTACCAACAGACAGGGACAGTTATATTTGTGTACCAATAAGCATCTAGTCAAGAACTAACAAGAAGTTCAACTTTTGCCAGTGCATCACTTATCATTTATATAAAGCTCATCAATTTCTGCTAAGAAAATATAAAAGGTCATCTAAGATTATTACTCACCGATTTCTTTACTTGACCTGCGTTTGGTCTTGACAACAATTGGTTGTGTGGCCTCCACTGAATCTGGCGGGAAGATCATCTCTTTCTTCTGCTGGGAGGATGCATAGACCGGTTGCTGTGGCTTGTGAGGCTTCATCCCCTGCATGCTGGAGATAGGATGAGGGTGATGGCTTCCTCCACGAGGGGGCATTCCCTGAGTCAGGACAGAGTGGAGCGTCCTCGCCCCACCATACGGAGCCTGCTGGTTCATGATGCCACCTCCCCCTGGCCGCTGCTGGACACTGCCCCAGGATGGAGAAGGGCCCAGGCCGGAGTGGCTGGACGCTGGCGGTGGAGGCATCCCTTTGCTGTATCCTTCCGGTGGGATCCCGTCCCGCTTAGCACCTTGATCAGAGGGAAAGGGATAGTTAGAATTGAGCCAGCCTGGTTCCCCCCTCATAGGAGGGCCTGGACCAGGGATATTGCGAGGTGAAGGGGTAGGGGCGTGTCTCTGGTTGTACATGTCCATCGGACCGTCCATGCCGGAGCTAGCTGGTGGCCAGGGTCCAGGATCATTGAAATACGGCGGGTGATACGAGTTTACAGGATTACCTAGGGCTGTGCAAAGGAATGGAGCAAGCAACAAAAAACAAAAAGAATGGACATAATGGCACATCAGATTTTTAAATTCATCACTTATTTCAGAAATGCGACTGAATCATGATTTGCTATAAAGAGCACCCTAACCTATTAATAAATATAATTTGCAGATCAATTGTGCTAACTAAAGAAAAAGTAGGGCTATATTCATTTGTTGACGTGGTTCCTAAATAAAATATCACATTATGTCGTTATTATTAAGCCCTTTCATAGAGCCTTTCTTTAACTTTTGTTTTCATGAATTAAAAGCTGATTTTTGTTAAAAGAAAAATCTGTTTTTTCAAAAAAAGGAACCTTTACTAAGTATGCAATTATCAAAACAAACTTTGCATTGACTACTGAATTTATGTTTCTATGTTTCTATGGGATTTGGTTTAAGAAAGCCACACAAGCCTATATGAGGAGTAAGTCAAATGTATCTATGAAAATTTCTCTTTTTATGAGGAAGTATAATGGTTAGTTAACTGCAACCTAGATGTGCCAATATACCCAATAGAAAGAAGAGGTTACGGAAACATTTGTGAGAAGCAAAAACTTAGAATGTTTGCAAGTATGAAGAGAAAGAGATAAAAGGAAAGCACAGAGGAAGAGACCACATTGTATGACAGGTGCAAGGAGCAGGCATTATCTAGAATGAAGGGAAAACTATATATTTGTTAGTGATTTGTTAGATAAACAAACATGTTTAGAGTCCACTCAGAAATGAGACACTGTCTCAAAGACTGCTGCTGCAAAAGAAATGCTATCTAATGTGTATCCGAAAAGCAAGATGCAATGTAGAGGTGAAACAAAATTCATTGCAGTGTCAAATATTGGCCCCATGTGTACTAATGTCATCTTAAGTGATAAATGCAGAAACAAGACGCACAATAAGCTTTTGTAATTTTGTTTTGCTATAGAAATAGAAAGCTTCCGGAGGTGGTTTACTACCGTATTTCTGAATAAGCGTATAATTTTGTCTAACGACTAACCCTCCCAGCTTGAATGGGAAATGTGGCACAGAGGAATTATACAGAATGGTGTTACCGTAAACTGTATAGTACATTTCACTATGAAGCTAACAATTAAGAATGTCAACAAATGGTCACAAAATAACCTTTCAAAAAATAATATCATAATAGCAACACTTGTGTCATGGGTATTGTGTTAAATCAACAGATTTACTGCAAATAATTTCAAGCACCAATAAATCAATTGGAAATAGGTATGGAAGGAAGATGGAAAGAAATGTGTTAGTCTTTGAAAGACCTCAAATGCAGGAATGGAGGAAGGCTGTCACACTGGAAGAAAAATGAGGGTGTTTTGGAAGCAAAAAGTGGTGTATGAGAGGTTTTATGGATGAAGAATCAAACAGTATACATGGTTAGAATAAGTACATTTCCAAACAGATAAAACATTGGTGTCCAATCAAAATTATTAGTGTGCTTGTACTTCATTTGTCACATTCCACCTTTTTCAGAAAAATAAAATTGTCCATTTTCCTTAAGAAGTTTATTTTTTGAATTTACCATTGAACAAAAGGTGGGATCTGAAAGTCATCTTCGTTAGTAGACAGGACACCAATGTTTAATCTAAATTTGGCAGAATATCATGTTAATTGATAAATGTTTCGTGTAGTATCTAGGTAACATCTAAATGACTAAGCAGGAAATGTTTCTTCCACTAAGGCATTCATGAAATACTAATTCCACTTACAAAATGTTAATTATCAAAGTACCAGTAAAAGTTGGAATAAAATATGAATGTGCTACATATCTAAGAAAAAAGGGAATTAATTTACCTATTTAGAGGTTTAAACTAGCCTTTAACATCATTTAATCAGTAATTAATAATCCAATACAAATGTCAAGCATTTGAGAATGGCAGCAAGTAAGAGTACTTGCAAAAATATGAGATACCCAAACAAACAGACACCCAAACAAACAGACCAACTGCATACCTCACAATTTACGATTGCATTACCCTCAATGGCCAAAAATTAGTTGGTTTGAGGACCATGAGGAGTTTGTTTTGATTTAGTGTGGAGTCGGCTTGAAATTCTGTTGAGTGACTGAGGTATGAAACTTACCAGGGCCATGAGGGGGGTGTGGTGGTTGTTGTCTGTCGTTGTACACGGGCGGGAACGAGCTTGGGCCCAGGGGCCTGTCGCTGCTGCCGTACCCACCCTGGGAGAAGTTTCCCTGCTGCGAGCTGTATGGAGGCATACCATGGAAGCCCGGCCCACCGGCGTGGCTCCCGTCACCGTGCTGGCCCATGTAGTCTGGCCGCTTAGGGGGTGGTGGAAAGACATCACTCTGTACACACAAAAGAAATCATTGATGTCTCCTTACTTCATCATAATTCAATCTAAACACCAAAACAATATTAACAATCAAATTGGTAATAGGTAGGTATCACTTCTTTAAAATACTTAAATGCTCTTTAGCTTTGCTCTACGCTGCTTTTCACAAAAATCCAAAAAGGTATATCATGTAGTGCAGAGAAGGGTTTCAAATGACATAATGTCTACTTGATCAGCCAACTACTCTTTTGGTAGTTGTACATTTTAACATCTGTCACATAAAATAAGGATAATCAATACATGGCTTAATCTTGGTATCAACTCACCGGTCTTTTCTGAGGGAACTGCATCCTGTGATCATTGCCAAATGGCTGGGGAGGAGGTTGACCTGACGGAGGCTGACCACCAGGCTGTGGCTGTTGCTGAGCTGCAGCTGGAGGTCCTGATGGCTGAGAAGTAGCCCCAGCCTGAGGAGACGGCTGTGGTGGGGTTTGGCCTTTGGGCGGTGTAGGGATCGGTGTAGGTGGCTTCTGTGGTGTCTGCTGCTGCTGCTGCTGCTGCTGCTGCGACTGTGAGGGTTGAGTCGCCTGGACACTCGGGCTGGCTGATGCGGGTGGCTGCTGGCCCTGCTGTTGCTTGGCCGGTGATGGCCCAGCTGCCGAGTAGGGTGGGGGCAGGAATGGGGACGAGGAAGCAGACGTATGAGAGTCACTGGGCGTGGTAGGCCTGGAGCTGGAGCCAAAGCGGGAAGGAAATGGAGGCTGTGGCTGCTGCGGGTCTGGTGTGGAGGAACTGGAGAATGGAGGCATCATAGATGGACCTGATGATGGGGGTCCTTGACCTGGACTTGGGGACATGTGTGTTGTAGGTGATGCACTATACCTGCAAAATGGAACAACCGTAACATGAAATGTTAGGTAATGGGTCATTTAGGGGTGACCTATTCCCTCATCATGTTTGTCATTTATAAATATAAAATCTTGAAATGAACTTTCGCAAAAAAGGTTTTAAGAACAAGTGGCTAAACAAGGTTTTAAGAACTAGAGGCTAAACAAGGTTTTAAGAACTAGTGGCTAAACAAGGTTTTAAGAACTAGTGGCTTAACAAGATTAATCAATTTTTCAGAAAACATTCTTGAACTATAATCTTGACCCTATGTAAATTACATCTTACTCAAGTACATGCACAAAAACAAATAGGTACTAAATGGTAAAAGAACTAGAGCCAAAACTATAAGCGTTGGATGTAACTTCACCTGTTTTGGTCAAAGTTAGGAGCTCCTGGTGGGTGGTTTCCCCCAGCATACTGCCCAGCATTGGCCTGGTTCATCGGCCCAGATACCTGGCCACCACCACCACCTCCACCGCTGTACGGATCCATGCTACCACCCCTTCGTGTGTAGCTGTTCATTGCGTACGGGTCGTTGCAAGGCATGTTCCTGTTTGGCATGGAATACGGATCTGACTCTCCCCCCGGACCTGGGGGTCCTCCTCCGAAGGGCATGTTGTTCACTCCACCCGTAGCCCCCGGGCCACTGGGCGGCCCTCCTCCCATATTGTTCCTGAACGGGTGGTTCATGGCAGCATGGCTGTTGGGCGGGAAAGAACCATTCATTGCATTTTGTCCCGGGTAAGGGCCCTGTTGCTGTTGTTGTTGTTGTTGCTGCTGCCCATAGTCCATATCAGAGAACGGGTCACACACCATCACACTGTTAGCCGTTATGTCCCCACCTGGCCCACCTGGGCCACCCGGGCCCCCTGGATGCATGTTACCAGGTACGTTGCTGTTGGGCATGGTGGGGCCACGTGGGCCCATATGTGGACCCATGGGGCCCATGTTGTTTCCATACATGGAAGGCGGGCCATAGCCATGCATCTGGTTAGGCATGGGTGGGAAGCCTGGCTTGCCTCCCTGAGGACCAAACTGCTGGGAGTAGGGATCACTAGGGCTGGGATGATGATTCATAGCTGCTGCCGCGGCCGCTGCTGCTGCTGCTGAAACGATAGGAAAATAATTTCATTTTACCTGTTGCCACTATATGTAGTACTAGGAAAAAAACTAACAAGTTTTAAAAAAAGGTGGTTTCAAAATATTACAATTCATTAGACATCACATAGATACAAATAAAACACTCAGAAATATGTAAGAACTTGACTGTCGCAACTCCTACACTTTGGAATAAATAATTCATGGTTCTGCAACTTTTTAAGTGTTACATTGTAGCTTATGTCATCAAACGTCTCCAATAACTATTAATTTTATATATTTTAAAACTGATATTAGCAATAACAGGGTAAAACGGAAGACTAAATAAGACCAAAGAATATGGAGCCATATCCTATGTATAAACTTTATAATTTGCAACATATCCACATGCAATTTTGAGAAATTTGCACCATTTATCAACAGATTTTGAAGACACAAAATACCAAAGCAGCAGCAACTCACATGAGGAGTCTTTAGACTTCTTTGTGGAGGTAGTGTCGATCTCTGCCAGGATCTGCTGAGGGTCTATACCACCCCTGTCAAAGAGGCACTCGTACGCCAGCAGGTGACGGATGTAGTTCTTCTTGAGTGTGAAGGCCGCACTGTTGGAGTTACCCACAGCGATCTCGATTGCGATCTGCTTCCATTGCTTGCTCTTGGACACCTGAGGGACAGACAGAGAAGGGCAATCACAAATAAATAGTATGCATTTAATTACCATGTCTATAAGGGTGACCCTGAATGTTTTCTCAGTGTATACAACAACAAAAAAATATGCCCAAATGTTCAATGTTAAAGTGCATTCGCGATATCTATCCAGGCCGGATCGATATGATAATTTACCAAATGGAATACAAATTTCTGTAAATTAAACATTGACAATATAAAATGGAATCTCGAATCTTGTAGGTAATAACTACTGTTTACATAGCACCTTACCAATAAGAAGTAACCTACCAAAGCGCTTAGTCTTTTCACAATATGTAACACTTAATTTAAATGAAATGAAATGCAAAGGAAAGAATTGTGTGATTAGAGCAATGGTTGCTATGAACAATATTTCAAATTTCCTAAAGCATGCACAAATGACTGTATCCTATATTCTTAAATGAGAACGCAAAAGTAGAGCATTACAATTTACAAAGAACCATCAATGTCATGAAAATAGCATGATGATAGCGATTTTAACAATTAGGACACACTGCGTTTTTCATAGGTTTGTACCTTCTTCATATCATTTTGTTCTAGGACATGATGTTTGTACAGAGGGGACTGACGTCCAGACCGTAAAAGACTTCAGTCTGAACGCTAATTGACCTCCATGAAGTGATCTCTCACACACAGCATTATCAACCTTCACATTGGGTTTGAGAAGGCTGACTTAAATAAGCTGGTGTGCAAAGCTATACCTTGTGATTTTAATCAATATGCTTGAAATTCCACACACACCCAGAGATGCCAACCTCTTGACACAAAACAACAGACTAAATATCCTCAAAAAATAAAATTTTCATGAAAACTTGACACTACCACTAGCCTGTTGGCCCATCTCTGCACACCCATCAATGTACGATTGAGGACATCATCATGACCAACCTTTATAACACCACCCCTTTCCTTGACAGTGTTGTAGAGCTTGAAGAGATCCAAGACGTGACTGCTGATCTGCGGCATGGTGCGGATGGGCTGGCCCCTCTCCTCCATCAACTTGAAGAGACGATCCAGGAACGCCCGTCTCTCCGGGTGAGGGCACAACTCGTACAGCTTGTACAACTGTGGCAGGGCAAGAAAAGAGATAAGACAAGCTCATCATGAGGAGAAAGCTCATACAGAGGGCATAGTCACGAGTGAAACTGACCAAGAGAAATGTTACAAATATATAAGAAAATGAGGACAAAAGAATTATTCTTTGATCCATAAAAATGTAGAGGTGATTTGAGTTGTAAAAGAGAGCATATTACAAATAATGACAATTACCTGAGATTTTTCTTGATAATTTACAGGATCAATTTGTAAACATACCAACTGAGAGAAAAAGAAGTCCCTTTTAGAAATTGCACTGAAGACATTCTTTTAAATAAATATTCTCTAGAGGTGTCGTTGGCGAGTGGATATGTCACCGGACAGTGGATCACAAGGTCTGTGGTTGGAGTCCAGCCGTGGCATTAATGTCCTTGAGCAAGACATTAATCTATAATCTACAAGATATTATTATTAATTTATTACCTTTTTAGGCAAGTTTAGATTTGTGAGTTTGCTAGCAGGTTCTTGCGATGCTTGCCCCTTCTTCGACTTGGTAGTGGTGGTTGTCGATGGTGCCGTTGTTTTAGGGGTCGCTGCTGGCTGTGGAGTTGGTGGCTGCTGCGGTGTTGGCGGCTGCTGTGGAGTTGGCGGCTGCTGCGGAGTTGGTGGTTGCTGCGATTGTGGCAGCTGCTGACCGGGAGGTTGTGGAGGTTGCTGCTGGCCAGGATGTTGCTGTGTTGGTGGCTGCTGGCCTGGATGTTGCTGCGGATGCTGGCCTGGATGTTGCTGCTGATGCTGACCTGGATGTTGCTGCTGCTGTGGATGGTGTAGCTGCTGCATCTGTTGTGGATGTTGTTGATGCGGGTGATGCTGCTGAGGATGAGGAAGGGATTGCTGCTGTTGGTGGTGGTACATGCCAGGGTAGGGAGGGGGAGGTTGATGTGGCTGTTGCTGTGGGTGCCCCTGTCCTGGCCCCTGTTGTTGCATACCCATCCCAGGGCTTGGGGTGTTGGCCATGTCCTCCTGGGATGATTTACTCATGGCGCCCGGTGATGCTAGCGGTGACGGCCTGGAATGGACTGATGGTGGTCTCGACAATACATTCTCCTCCTGGCAAAACACAAACAAATCTATTATTAGCACAAACCATCACAAACGCAATTCTAAAATGATAACTCTGTTCCTTATGAAACAGTTTAATCTATTTTCTTTAAAAAAATGAATACATCTACTACAGTTCATTTGTTAACTTCTATTCTCTGATTTTTTTTTCAAAAGAAGACTACAGTCTTGAAAACATACATAATAGAAACACTTAAGTACATTATTGTATCAGCTTAACTACGACAAATTCTAAGAGAAGATGATTGTACAGAGGGGACTGACGTCCAGACTGTGGAATACTTCAGACTGAACGCTAATTAACCTCCATGAAGTGATCTCTCACACACAGCATTATCAACCATCACATTGGGTTTGAGAAGGTTGACACAGATAGGCTGGTGTGCATAGTTGCCCGTGTACACAATAACATTTCAGATCAAATTTTTTTCAATTTAAATAGAAAGTCCAACAAATATTAATTATTGGTTAAAATAATTATATTATTTAGGTACTAATATGCAGTGGTTATATATCATGCAGGTTCCACAGAGCTAGTCATAATGCTGTTATTCAACAATGTCTTGGCTTAGTGCCCTCAATAAGATTGAAATTTCAAATCCAACAGATGATTTCAATTCCAGTTTGTGTCTAATGAAAATGCAGGAGCGTAAAACTAAATGCACTGTACCACGCCTCTGGAAAACCAAAACCAAATTACTGTTAGTACTATGCTCCATCCTAGAAAGTTTGAAATCAACGTTGAGAACTATTTGTTTTTTCAAGCAAAGCTTGACACAAGGATAACGCACTCATTTCGGAGTCTTGTTACATTCCTATTTTCCTTGTGCCCCTTGGAATAGAAGTTCTGGATAGAAAGCACAATAAAATGCCTATAATTATTAAGATTTATTTGTTGTCGTATACAGAATTGCTTGAAATAAAGTAGACTCTCACACTGTGTCACGTATGACTACATGTATTACTCCATGGACTTTGGTGTGACTTGGTGTTAAAGATAAACTTTAGTACTGGTAATGCGATTGCATTGTGAAAGAAAAGGTGTGGAAAGGATCAGAAACAGTTGATCATCAGGGAATAATTTTCCTCAAATTTTTTGATTAGCAATTTCAGCCGATGGATGAATATTTAAAATGAAATTCTGTACATTTCTATGGAAGAAAACTGCTACACAAAAGATATTTTGTATAGCAGTCATGCAAAAATGCATAGCAAATTGCGATGCGATACCAGGAAAATTATTCCCTGGATCATATAGCATGTAAGTATTGGTGTGCACTACAAGGTTCTCGAGTCATCAAAATCATAATAAATTTGACCGAGTCTTGGTAAAGTAACAAGCGCTGTACATGGAAAGCTATATATGGGACAACACACATGGTGTCGGGGCTGGTACTACCTTGATTTCCTTGTCTTTCTATGCTCATTACTCAGCCAGTATACATTTTCTTCCAAAATTGTTTGGCACATGTCATTTATTTGTAATCTTGAACATTCAATATAAGTTTTGTTTGATTCTGTGAGAATTAATTTTCTTTTTTTTACCAGAACTCAAGTTTATCTTTAATATGTCTACTTTATTTCAAGCAATACTGTAGATGGAGAGGGGAAAATGTACCTTGATAATCATTTGAGGGGTTCCTGGAGTGCCAGCGTCTCTACTTGATTCACTGGCCGTGCTGGGCGTTAGTGAGCTGACGGAGGACGCCACTGGAGTTGTGATGCTCTGGGTAACCGACGTACTGTTGGTACCTGTAGTCCCAGTAGTGCGTTTTGGAGGTGGGAGGAAGTAATGAATACAATGATGAAAGCGAATTTTAATATGAAAGGGTTGGTTGTATGTTATGGAAAAACAACATCAGTCAAATGCCATTCTTATATTTTGACCTTTTTGGCAAAATAAATAAGTTTTAGCAGCAAAAAAAATATATGTATATATATATATCTTAACTATATATTAACTGTGCAATTCAGGGAATAAAATTATCTACTACAAAACTTATTCCTCTCTATATTCTATTCTTTACACCTAAGCAATCTGTTGACAAATTACCCTTCAATTCTAAAACTGACACCGATATGGACCCACATACCTGAATTGGTGTTGGCTATCGTTGTTGCAGCTGTATGAGGTGGCATCTGATTGCCAGAACTAGGATGCATGTAGCCATGCATTGCATCATTGGGCACTGAAGAAGGCATTTGGTTAAAGTTTGTTTGGTCTGCGCTTGTTGGTGGTACACCACCACCAGGAAACGGGGGACCATTGCCCTGATTGTACTGTTGTTGATGTTGCCTGTATGCTGCCTGCTGCTGCTGTTGGTTCTGCTGCTGCTGGTTCCACTGCTGTTGCTGGGGGAACGACCCTGGGTAGGGACCTTGCTGCTGCTGGCTGGGGTTGGGTGGAGGGGGTTGCTGCTGCCCTTGCATCTGCTGGTTCAAAGGGTACTGGTTCCTCGTCTTGGTGAGGTGTGCCGAATTGGCTGCGGCGGCAACTGCAGCCGCGGCTGCTGCCTGTGCTCCTGCGACGATACCCACACCACCAGGTCCTGGTCCTGGAGATGGACCAGGTGAGAGTCCTGGAGAAGGACCAGAGCCTACGCTATCTGTCCTTTGCATCTGCCCTTGGGCGTTGGATCCATATCCATAGGTAGGGCTCATACCTGGTCCACCCCGTGCTACATTAGGGCTCATATTGTTGGCTCCCGACTGATTGTTAGCTCCCATGCCATGGCTAGCATTGGGCATGTTGCTTGAGTTGTATCCACCGTGTTGAGAGTTGTTTTCCAGCTTTATATTCATTACACCACCGCCACCGCCACTACTGCTGTTGTTGTTTCGCATCCGTTGCTCGTAACTCATAGTGCCAGAGTTGTTTGGTGCAGGGCTCGGCACATTGCCATGATGACTACCATATGCATGTGGCCCCCCTGTCTGCCTTCCATAATTACCTGTAAAGAGAACAAGAAGCAAAACAATTGAAAACACTGGACATTGGAGGTAACATAACTCACTATTTTTATTGACACATAGCAAGATATGGAAAACTATCAATATACATAGTCCAGGCCTCTACGTCTGAAGTGATAGCCATGTCAGATCTACTTAAGAAACAGAAAAAATTATGACAATTTTCACACAAGCACTAACACTAAAACATGTCGAAGCAGTAAACATCCTATATGATCAAAGCGGAATCGCTATTGTGTACTGTACTCACAACGAGCAAATACATGTATATTAAACTTTTTGTTTCTCCGTCTACATCTCATGCATAATCAGAATATGATACTCATTCTAACAATGATCATCAACTACTTTATACACAATAAAATAAATGATAAAAATATATTCTAACAAAAAACAGGTTATATGAATAAATGATGTAATTGGAGCCAAATCAACTTCCTTACACTGTAGAGCAAAACGTAATGAATCAGGATTTTTAGAGGAAGAGTAAAAACACTAAGGGCTTTGATAAAGCTATGAAAAATCTTTAATTAATTAACTTCCAAAGCAGCAAAACTGTCCTCTTTTACAATGACCTAGAAGTAATGGTTCAATCCTTACATAAATATGATGTAGATCTACTACTACCCCCCCCCCCCTTCTCTCTTTTGTTTCAATAACTGTTTTAGCCTCTCAACTGATCACTGCAATTAAAGGGGAATGTAGGCTGTTATTTCTTGGCCTACAATATTGAGTCTCAACTACACAAAATAAGTACAGGATGCTGCTAACATTCTCAAAACACTTGATCCAAAAGAATACTTAACATTCTCGAAAAAATTTGCTTCATTTTCAATTAAGGTAGCTGATGACAAAGCAATCAAAATTTCACTTGAAAGAAACAACTCAGATACAGAGAATGTAATTTAGAAATTGGCAAACTAAATGAAATATCTCTATTCAAGTCCAATCACATTAGTTATTTTTTTCCTTTTAAAATTTAAGCAATTGCTTTACTAATCTACCACTAACAGTACATTGGTATATTATATTATCTGGTCAAAAGATCATTGTACCAAAACCAATACTGCGTATTGCCTTACAGATAGAAACGATACAGAATATGAATGTCTCAACATTTTCTCCACAACTCTTTTTACAACTAAACCCCTCCAAAAAAAAAAGTTCTGCAATTCAGGTTCAATTGTTGACATCTCTCTTGTAACTATACCATCATACTTGAATTGTAACTATACCATCATCATTGGAAAGCCTGATCTTTTCATTTTACAATGACGCCACATTTATGATGATTATGAAACCTGCAGTACGCCAGAATAGGGGGGCTGGGTAAAAAGTGAAAAGTTGCAAAATGCATTGTTACGGTCAATTGAATAGCGACTTCTTTACTTGTTTGAAAGATGGAGTGTTTTTAATGACTATAACCAATGCATTTTGCAACATTTCACTTTTGACTTATATTCAGATGTACTGCACATAAGAAGATTGCATAATCATTATAAATTGGGTTTCATTGAAAAGGGAAATAAAGAGGATTTTCATTGATACCAACATCAAGTGTGATAATGAAGTAACAAGAAAGATACTAATGCTCAAACTTGAATCGCAGAATATTTGTTGAGGAGTTTACATGGAAAAGGGTTTTACCACATTCAATCAAGCAAGCAATTACTTGGCACATCAAACTATTAAAGCAGCAAACTATGCCATGGTCATGTTTGTTATGAAACATCTCAACATATGAAAGGTAATATGGAGTGCTGATCTGAGAAACAGTGAATGAAATTCAGGATTTCTTCAGTAAGTTTCTCAATGATATGAATCAATAGAAACAGAAAGTAACTTTCTCGAAAGCAAAATTTTAACTTTTGAGTGTGAGACCTTCTAAAAATACAATTTTTTTTAAGATAAACCAAATTAAGAGAGGAACAGTCTTAATATCAAAACATGTATTTAATTTTTCTTCAGTAAAAATACATAATTTCATTTATAACCAGTACTCAAGATTACCACCAAAAAAAAATGAGTTCATTTGAACCAAGCAACATTCATTTTATCTACGGATGAGGATAAATGAACATACTCAAATGAAAAGATAAAAAACTGAATGGATTACTATCACACAGATGAAAGGAAGGGGAATACATTCAGTATTCATTTCAATCAAGCAAAAACAGAAAAATGTCAAAAAAGCATATTTAGATTTTAAAAAAACTAAAAAACAAAAGAAGACAATATGGGCAATACTCTGGGGAGAGTCTCACCTTGTGGGTTATAATGACTCATATTTTGGTTGTAGTAACCACCAGCAGTGCCGCCAGCGCCACCTTGGCCCTGGTAGCCCCAATACTGGGGCGGGCCCCCGCCCATCCCACCTGTCAAGAGGGAAGAACGATACAAAGTCACGTCACATTACGCACTGACCAGTATTTCGCCCATTCTTATTGCTTATCAATATCACAAATCCCCATCCCACTCTTGTGAATGCAAGTAAAATTGAAAGATCATGCATAGAAATTGCAAATATCTAAAAATCCATGTTATATTGATTTGGGTTGATGTTTAAGACCAAGACATATATGGAAGCCATAAAGTCAATTAAACCTAGCTGCCACATCAATGACCTTTGTTTCTCTTTTGGAGGGATCTTCAAGGCTTAAAAACTTTTGGAAGTTTTTATTATTAAACATATTTTTTTCCCTCAAATTTCCTTTATTTTAATTTTACCCAAGTTTGATGCATTTATTACAAACCTCTCCAGTACCAACAAAAAAAGTAGGATATCTTTAATCTGGCATCATGATGCATTGATAAAAATGATTTTTCATTTCACTGTAAGAAACGTTACTTAATTACCATACTATGTGGTTCTTCAAGCACAACATTTTGATCTTCTACACTTCATTAATGTGACATAAAATACCTAATCCTATAACTCTGCCAAAATACATTACATATGATAGGGGCAATTACAAACTCCACTACAAATATGTTTAAACATTATTTACAACCAAGCTCTAATTTAGAACCTTTCATTTCTTTTGTTTAAATTCTCAGTTACATTAAATGACGTTTTATGAAATAATAAGTCACATTTGCATAGAAATTCTCTTGATGTTTTGAGAGCTTTACATATATACCGGTAGTCATTATCACTGTAACAAGCAGTTTGCTCTTCTTGAACACAATCAATGACATAACTTTGATTTATTTCATTACTTTTTAGTAACAAATACAACATTTACCAGTAACCTAATTCCAGCTTGCCTCTTGCCAATGATACATATCTATGTGCTTAGGATCAAGTCCAGTCCCAAACCCGCCTTCCTATTCTTCTTCACTTGCACAATAAATGAGGACAAACAGATTTGCAGCAACCAATGCAAAAATGAATGAAAGATTCATATAGTTGTTATCACTGTAACAGTCGGGTTTTGCATCATTTTCACTTGAACTGATGTAGCTTAGCATGAATCCATTTCCATCCCTCCTCACCCTTTAGCTATCTCTACAGACATCAGTTCACTTGACTTGACATACTATGCCGTATGTTCATGTTTGAATAGCTCACCGTGTACCATTGTTCAACATATGGGTACATTTTTTTTATTTTGTATCTTTTTGTATGAATAGCTGTACTATTGTTCAACAAATGGGTGAATTTGTTTTGTTTTTAATTAAAGAAAAATGAAAGTTTTCAACTCATTACCAACAATGATTTAAATTCGAAGAAAAAAAGAGCACAAACAGAAAGACTGGTTCAAGTATGCCCCACACAAAACAGGGTAAGCATCTTCAATTTCTTCTTAAATCACTAGTAAAAACAAGGTTCCGCAGTGTTGCTGTAACATATGATCGGCAACATCTTATTCCATTTTTCATCATGGAAACGAAAGATGCTTTACCAGAAGGGCAAGGTTGCAGGGAGATGTGGACAAGAAAGGGATCAAGAAAGGGATCAAGGGTAGATGCATTATGCATGAGGATGGGAATAGGGGAAAGAAAGAACTGAGGGGGAGGAGGAGGAGGAGGAGGAGGAGGAGGAAGAGGAGGAGGAAGAGGAGAAGTATAGGTGAGGTCAGGCGAAGTTAAGTTTTCTCTTTATTTGATTTTTGGTACCACTGCTATTACCAGAGTTCAATCCATGCTGATTGTACCCTTTGAAAAACGGAACAGAATGATGAAAGGATGAAGAACCTTGGCATTCATTCCCATACCAATTCATGCACATCTCCCATCTTCTTCTATACAGGTTATATCAGAGGGGGTCAACAGTCCCCCCCCCCCCCCCGACAAAAATTAATTTATACATTTTTTTTTTTTTTTTTTTTTTAATGATAAGAACTCACCAGGCTTTAATAAAATCTCTGTTATTATAAAACCAAACCATCTTCATACCATGCAGAGCAATGGAGAAACAGAGACATTTTTCTGTAGGATACTATGCAAGAACTCACCCCAAGGAAGAGGGCAATCTTCAAATACTTAGATTTGCAGTAGTTGCAGGAAATTATCTCATTCTCATTGGCCGTTTGTTTACGAGGTGATATTATTATTACCAGATGCATCAACTTCTTCACAACACTCATCATCACCATTCAAAGCAATGAAAGGGGCTTCACAACTTGAACAGTAGAGCATACCCTTAATGTAATATTTCTTCCAAAAATGAAATCAAATAATCTTTCAAAATCTGTCAGAAAAACAGAAAAGAGAATGGTGCAACCAGAAAAACAGAAATTTAAAACTTAAATTGGAAAGTACGCATTTGCAAAAAAATCTAACGAAAGTTGTAGCAGAAAAAAAGTCTCAATAGCTTTTTTTTTTAAATGTATTGCTTACACATGTTTACGTTAAACAAACCACAATGATCTGCTGTAGGCAATCATTTTATGGCACGCGCAAGAAATCTTCTTTTACTCTGTGGCTATCCAAATCTTTCAGTGAAAGAATTCATACCAGTAAGCTCCATCGAGTCCAGGATTTGAGCGAGTAAATTATCAGGGATGCGCACATGATATCCGCCCACCAGTTCATCCTTTTCTGTGCTTCGACCCTGCACTGGATCCACACTTACATCAGGCCTTCCAATGATACCAAACTCAAGTCTGATGACACACTTACAAGAGAGATGTCAACACTCAAACCCGAATTGCAGAACTTTTTTTGAGGTGTTTAGTTTGTAAGTACATTGGGTCTGGGAAAGTCAACTTCAAATCATGCTTCCACCCACTTTGAAAAAAAAAATCAGAACCAAACTTTAAAATATTGTCAGTTTGGAGCTACAGAGGAGTTAACTTGTACAATTTTACACGTAGTTAATGCTCATCTGGCTCTAAACAGAAGATGTAATAATGTTTGTGAGGATCTAATACCCTATGTAGCATATTAGCTTCAAGAACCGATAAGAAGTATTTTTCAAAGAAAATATAACAGCACCGATCAATTAGACACATTCTCATGTACACAGTGGACTTTGTGTGTTTAGTGCAAATTGTGCATGCAGTTGGAATCTTTACCCCATGTGCCTGGATATGATTTCATTGATTTAAAACTTCCTGCCCCTTTCATGGTTTACAAATGCACGACAGTAAGAGAGGGTGGTTAAACAACTGCATATTGGGATGTGCACTGTACCTATCACCATAAAGACTGTCATAATATACAGTCAACAACTAAATTATTCATATGCTTACCAAGTTTTGTAATTCTTAAAATACGAGAAGAATTGATTTATGTTTCTTGAGAAAGCTTACATGTTTATATAAATATTCAAGCCCTAATTCAACCAATCCACCATTCATTCTTGAGTTACGAAAAACACATTAAACACAAAAAAAACTACAAAAAATTACAAGAGGTATGAATAATTCAGTTGTTAAGTGTAACTAGTAACATTGATATTCAACCCTTTACCTACTTTGAAGAACTAATGAAATTAATAATGGACTGCCACAATCCACTTTTGTCACACGTACAATTTACCTCAAAACAATGTGGTAGTCCAGGGGGGTGCTTCACAAAGACTAAGATCAACTTAACTATCGCAAGACCATTCATGCTTCTGGTTGCTCTCACCATTCCTGGTATTGGTCTCTCAGGGGACGTGCAAATCATGGTTACAAATCTACATTTTTTGATAGTATCATTCTTGAGAAGAAAAAAATATCTTCAGAAGAACTTAAATTAAATCAAAATCTTATTCTTCAAAGACGAACTGTCCCCAAAAATTTCAATTTTCTAGATTCCTGACCACGATTTGCACTTCCCTTGAGAGACCAATGGTGAGAGCAACCAGTGGCATGAACGGCCGGACTGCCATAGTTTGAGTCTAACTTAGGTCAATTTTTGGTCCTTATGAAACACCCCCAGGATTTTAATCCATAGCACATAAAGAGTTAAATGTAACTGGTCGTAACCTTCACCTGCATATATTATACTGTAGCAAAGTTAGATTGGTAGATTGTGGACTACCCATCTCAGAACTAAAAGCTCATCTCAAAACTAAAAGCTCATCTTAAAAGAGAGAAATTACAATGTGATATGATACTAACCTCTGGTTTCTGAAGCAGCTGATGGTGGAGTCTGTGAAGGAGCTTCCGGTGTATTCGAGGGTGGCTGAGACGGTTGAGGAGTCATTGACCCACCTGATATAATGAAAACAAATGAAGCGCAGACAAAGTCTTCTTTTAAACGAGGTATATCCATTAACTTTTGAAGGAATTATTAACTTTTGCTAATAAATATGAACTTTTCTTCAGGTGTTTTTTTTAAATTATGTAAATTCCCCTTTTCTTCCGCTTATCTCAATCACTGAGATGCGTTGATTAACAAATACATCAATGCCGACATCCACAAGAAGGATAAGAAGCGCAATGACTTTCTGTGCCTAGCCTGCAAGCTTAAATATTACCAATACCTTCGTTCAAGTCTACAAATATTGCCAGGTTAGTTAAATGCAATCCCTCCCTTTCATCCAAATGTCATTTAGAATTGAGGCTAAGCCACAGAAAATAGGCACGTAACAGCATCATTTTCCTTGCAAGTGAAACAGATGAACCTACGTTATAGTAGAAATTGAGAGAGTCAATAAAAGGAGGGCAGTTCGCAACTTTGATGACGGCTGGACTCACCGTGAACACTAGCTGGCGACAGAGAAGAGCGTGATATATGGCTTGCAGGTGATCCTACGGGTGAAGGCGAAGGTCTGAGGGCCGTGACGGAAGGGTGCACGTGAGGCGAGTGTACCGAATGCACCGAGGTGGCTGGGGAGAGGGGTGGAGCGGTCGACGTGGATGAACCCCCGCTGCCGCTGTGGTTGTTGGAGCTGCTACTTGCGGCGTTAGAGGCGGAGTGGCTGCTGGAGTTGTTGCCAGACGCTGAGCCGGTTGTTGTCCCTGCTGCTGCTGCCGCCGCTGCCGCCGCCGATGACTGGCTGTTGAAGTCACATCCTGTAGGAAGATCATCTAATGATCCTGATAGGTCCTGGGGTGAGGGGAGAATAGCAATGCAGAATGGTTGAGTGTATAGCAGATCAAGGTAAAAAACGGTAATTTACACACCTACGATGATATTCCAAAGATATTACCATCAATGCCAGACAAAGCATATTCAGACACATCTTAATTAACCCCCCTCCCAAATCCCTTGCCATACCAAAGAAAAAAAAAATCAAGAGAATATCACTAAGTGAAGCACTGTCTAGTCCAAGATAATTGAATAAAACAATGGGTGTCCACTTTAAAAATAAGCAAGTCAGTTTGTTAGGCAAGTATTTCAATGTTATCTAAAAAAATCTGTAAAGGACAGAAAGACACGATAATTCAGAAAAAAATTGGTTAAAAAATGTACATTAGCCAAGTTATAAGAAAGACTGAAAATAAAGTTAAACTTGTAGTCATCCCAACAGTGAGTTAAAGAAATACATAGAATAAAGCTTCCATGAATAAGGTCTTTGGCAAGCTTTTGCAAGTTTGTTCACATTTTGCTAATCCAAATATTTTAGAACAATTTAGAATTAGTCAATTAAAATTTCACTCAAAATGTAATTCCATTAGCAGAACTCAGGATTATCGACTCGTTAAGTATTTTGGAAATGTACAAGATTGGGTATGCAGAACTGTGGCTCTGATAACTAGTATACTCAAGCTCAAGAATCAGGTTTGTGAATATTCATTCAAGCAAATTCCTGATATACTCTCTATTATTCATATGATCTAGATTCAAGAGAACTTTATGAGTTCTGAAACCCTCACAAGGAACACATTAGATTAACCCAAAAATATCCCACTCCATCTCAGTCAGCAGATATACACCTACCCTACTTGGAATAGATGGCTCTTATACCAGCGTTCCGACTAACAGGGTTTAACGTATAGCTATTGTACGGTTTTTTCCTAGTCTGAACGTCATATAAAGTAAATTTTGGACAGCGGAACGCAGGTCTGTGCATCATTTCAAACAAAAACTCAATAAAGAATCAGGGTCCAGTTCTAGTCCAAACGTTATATCGTTGTTTCGTACAATAACTGGGAAGGGCTTATCACAAGCACACGCTGTCGACCGGTCAGCTGGCATGTCAAATGACCCCTCTTCAAAACCAGTTTGTCTACACAACGTTTCTTCATACAATATTGTTATCTAGTCTGTATGCCCCTTATCCAGTCTGTATGCCTCTTCCAGTAATTGTTGATTCATTGCAGATGTTAATTTATAAATGAGCGTTTTGTATAAATTTACTGCAGTCTGAACAGGCCATAAGAAACTGTGGGAATCCTTCCAATGAGTTTCCAATAGTCCCTAAGAGATAATACTTGGAAAATTGATATGTTCCTGCTCAGCGATATGATTCATCTTTCAAAATCTCTGGATAACGTTTAATTACTCTTTCTGAGACCAGTATTCTCAAAGAAGGCATGATCGCTAGATCTTGAGAGAAAGGGAGGGAGGAGGTTGTCACATTTGTAAACACTTCTTTTGGAACTCCTCTTCCATTGAGCAAATGTATTCAATATAACCAGGGTAGAGGTATTTATATTCTACAGTTTTAAAACAATATCAGAACATAAAGGCACCAATTATAATGCTCAAACTATTTAAACTCTGATATTAGAGTGAATATGGACCGAAAAGTGATATGCAATATATACAGGTACATATGTCTATTATGATCCATATTATTATCATCATCATCATCATTATTATCATTATCATTATTTTAGTATTAAAAGAAGATACAAAACTAGATAGATAGGGTCAGTCAATTCTAAAAATGAACATTTTTTACCATAAAGCCTCCTCTAAACATGTCGCCGTAAAGTGCCTATAAAGAATGTTAGGTAGCAAAATAAAATGACGTTAGAAATCATGCATTCCATATTTTGTATTAACACAGGCTGTTAATCCCTGTAAGTTTCTGTCTTACAAACTACATCGATATGTTCTCCACATTGCTACAGAGTTGCCAGTGATAGCATTGAATTTATTTTAAAATGAAAAAGGTTCACCTCATTAATTTCTAAAATCAAATTTGATTTACATAATTCTGATTTTAATAACAATTCTATATTGATTATTATTATTACTATTATCATTGTCATCTTAATCATCATCATCATCCCTTTATTATCATTATTATTACATCCATTCATATAGCACAGCTACTTTACAAGTGAACTCTACTATGCTTGATACGAATGATCACATTATTATCCCGGTTGTAGCTGAGCTGCTAAAGCTCAGCTCAGTACTTTCTTCTAACCAGTTACCCATTTACTTCACCTGGGAAGAGAGTAGCACATATAATGATGATCCACACCACTGATTTTCATTCCTATTGAAATAAATTCTGTCAATGAAATTGCATAAAACATGCTTCCTTTCAGCCTTCCGAACAGTTGTACTGTACTTGAAGTAATAGGAATCTTCAAATGTTACACAAAACATTGTGAAGAACTATTATGAATCATTCCAAGAAAAGATCTGCGAAAGTTTTTCTTAAATTTCATTTCATTTGAAAAAATAAGGATAATATGTGTAAGTAACTTTAAGCAGGGAAGGGTTAGGTAAAGAAAAAAATATTATGAATAATATAATTTGTGTCTGGATTTCTAACTAGGCTTAGCAATCTACGCTACTGTAATTGGAGATTGAAATGGATAGAAATGTATAGGAAAAAGGTAGATACGATACATGGAAACACTTGTTTCCTTATTTCACAAATGCATATCTTTTATAGAGCAAATAAGTTACATTAGCAAAACTGGATAGGGAAAAATAAGAAATTTGTCAAAAGAAAATACTTGAATTGAAGTGAGAGATATATCATTAAATGTACTTTCTAAAATTCTTTACTTTTTTATATACTTAGGGGTAAATTGAAGAACTTAATGAAAATAAGGAGAAAAAATAGTATTCTTTGAAGTTGAAGGAGATTAGCTTATACATTGCATCACTTTCCTACTGACTACACAAACTTCAGTCGACTGTAGTCCCTACTACACAAAGTAATGAGAGAGAGAGAGAGAGAGAAAGAGCCTCCAGGTTCAATTATAGAACTGCTAGCACCACCATCGTTTTGTATGCTTGTGAAGGCTTCGCGTATGACTAGGCTGGATGGCCAATTTGACAATTAATGATTAACTTTTCTCTTGTCAAACCTCTACACCGAGTTTGATTGTTTACGTGGAGATAAAATACAAAGTTCAGTCATAAGTATTTTGACAGTGTATTTACACTTGTAAAATAAATCGACCATTTTGATCTTGGAGTTTTTATCGAGAGAAACAGGCAGTAAATTGGCAATGTCTCTCCTAGAGGTCTTTGGGTTCTGAATAAAAAACACACAGCCTTGTTATCATTCAGGCTCCATACCATTATGCATCAGTGGATTCACAGAGCCTAACCCTTGTGCACAGCTAGAGCAGTACAATGCTACAGGCTAGGGCATTGCAAGCAGCCAGCCAAGCACACAGCTAGCTAGCTATACAGCACAGAGCGGACGACTATACATTTAGCACGTACTACACTCACTTCGTACAGCAGACACACACAACACACACACTCTCTTTCTGCCTTGAAACGCAGGCAGTATTATTTAGCCAAGTGTGCATGTGTGCACAGGCAGTGCATGTAGAATGAGTAATGGCTTATTTATGAGGCCACAACTCATTTGCATGCAAAAGTAGTTCCAGTCTGAAGGGGCCCCATAGGAGAATACAGGCGCTAGGTGCTGTGTGTGCATGCTACACTCTTGGCAAATAACACACGGAGGAAATATACATGCACGATCGAAGCAGAGAATATCCCTACACTGCACATACAATTCCTCAAACTGAAAAACGAAGGGAGACGGACAATAAAAAATAAAAAATCATTCTAGTACCATATGCAGTGCATACATGATTCGAAGAGAGATTATCATTGAGTATCACAACAATGAAACATCAACCAAAAGTTGATGAAAGAGAGAAAACTTTCCTGATGAATTGCATGTGATCCCTTTGACCTCTCGTGCTTCCCCATGCATGACACACTTCCAGGAGGTCAGAAATAGCATGGATCAAATGGCAACAAAGAGGGAAAGCAACCTTTCTCTCTACCCTATCCCTCGCAAATTAACTAAGCACATAGCAGAAAATGGAAACTTGCAACATTCAAATCATTTTGGGCCATTTAACTCTGCAAGCGCAACCAACCAACTACGTTTCTCTTCCCCCCAAACTTTGTCTCCCACGCACAGTCAATATCGGTTTTCTGAGGTGATCCCTAATGTCATTTTCCACCATGCAGAGTCCATGCAGTGGAGTTCCTTCAGGGATTTCTCCTGAAAAAAAGTTTGGCACCTCCAACGAAACTGACTTGTGGGTGGCATCCAAATTATCATGAGTATTGTTGATAATGATCTTTAGGCAGGATATGGGGAAATTTATGAATGAAAATCCATAGTTTTCTCCTTGGTGATCAAATTATGTCCTCTGGTAAAATGTGCAAAATTTAACACTTCACTTGGCAAGCATTAGATAACAATCAAATTATGATCCGATTAATACTTTCCAGAAAAGAACATTTCTACCAAAGCCATGTGGTATCAAGCTCTGGCCATATTGATGATTAACTTTTTAATTAGCTAAAATTTTGCATTTATTCCAGACCACTTCAGGGACCATCTCAACATTACACGTCTACTTTAGGCTATCAAATGAGTTCCTGAAGGTTCTATTTTGAAAACTTTGGGTAGAGATCATGAAGGGTTCCAATGTTTTTCTTTTGTTTATGGAAAAGTGTCCAAAATGGATTGAATAGATGGGATAGGGGTATATATTCTTCTGCAAAGGAATATGACTGTGTAGGAACTAGTACACGTACATGTATATAACAACATGTAGCACACACTCTGTTGTACACTGCAGTATTGTGAACAATGGAGAAGAGTGTGTACAAACTACATGCTGCCTTGCTTTAGCCACTCCTTACTGTGCATTGGGTCTGGTCTGTATCAAAGCATTATCACTAGTACAACTTGCAATGATGGTTGTAGTTCTATTATTTTAAATTCTTTGAATATCCTTTCTATTTGTAACATGTGTGTCTACATGCTCATGAAGAATTCTTGTTTCTATGCGTAGGGAAGGAAGGGGAAGGTTTCAGCTTGAACGTGAAGCATGTAAGGTTTGGTGGGGGTCCAATTTTTAAAATTTTGTTTTTGGTCACAGGTTTACACCTTATCCACGGCAAATGTTCTTTGTTTTATACATGTTGTGCAACGTAAATAGTTTTAAAAGAATAATTTCTCCATGTGCAGTTACATAATATTGACTATCATGTAAGACATAAATGATAACAGAGGATAGTTGCCACAAACAGATTCCAAAACTTCATAGGCCTACATTTTCACAATCATGTTTTCTCTTTGGACATGGCTGTATAGTACATGAAGCGTTCTAAATTTTAAGAGATGCAAATGTACAATATAATCATCATCTGGTAAAAGCGGACTAACGACCGACACAGAGAGGCTAATGACTGCCAATTTGGTGATTTACTTGTAATGAGAAGCCAATCAAATATATGAGTATGACTTCCTCCGCTTTCTATATTTCTTTCTGCCGTAGTGATTACCGGCTCTAAGCTCTTCAGGGGACTTGCACATGGTAGCAGTTGTAAGCTGAAGCATACACATGCAATCTTCGGCGGTTTAGTAAATTTTGTTTTTAATATATCATTTTAAGATGAACTTGACTTGACTCGATGTTCACATTCGAGTGTAATTTATTTGAATGAAGGTTTTCTGATGATGTTCTTTGTGCCTTTTTTTAATGCTAAACTATCATCCACAGTGAGATTAATTAGAGCTTGTCAGCTGCCTACGTAATCATTGTAAGAGAAGATGATGAAGGGAAAAAGAAAAGAAAGAATCGACCACTATCAAAACAGAAAGCAAGCAAGATCCGGCCTCACTTCTGAGCTGCCGCTTTGAAAAGACACTTTGATTGTGTGGGCTGGCTGGCTGGCTGGCTGGTGCAGCAGTAAGACCATGGGTATGAATGAATGGAGGAGCCATCACAATATTAAGTACACAGAGATTTACCTTCCTGCTGCCTAGTGCCTACCTGCCTGCCTGCCTGCCTCCATGTAGAGAGGCTTTTGTTATGACATGTGACCACATGGCTCAAATGACAGGTCAATGGCCTTGGTCATGTGACCGTGGGGATTACTGAGCTAATAATAGGTGACCTTAAATGAAAGTGCAAACATTGATAGCTGGCTGACAAAGCCGACTTAGGAATGCAGCAGTGTACATGCCTCCATGTGGCCTTTTGTACCACGGAGTAATTAAGTGGGGTGTCTTTTTACTGGCTGGAAATAAATCAATACAACTGCCAAGGACAGGCCACGCTTCATTCAGAAAATGAAATGAACTTGATAAAAATAACTCAATGAAGACTGACAAGGTTGAACACAAGGACAATGTTTTGAGGTACTGTCCTACAATATGAGACTGGAAAAGGCAATGTCAGGTGATTTGCAAGTAACATCTACATGTACATGTAAATCTATGCAGGAATGACTGAATGTCAATACTTTAATTTTAATTATTACTTTTTTTAAATGAAATGGTGACAGTGCCTCACAATTCCACCTTGCTTTTTCTATATCAAAGTGTTTTTTCCTTCACATTAAGTTTGACATTTAAATAACTGTTTTGATTGGACTGTTACAATAGCCTTGTCTGGATCATAAATTAGCATCCTATACCTATATGCATGAAGGTGTGTATTGTACTCCTCTAAAAATTTAGAATACGATTACTGATGGGAAATTGTTGCTTATTTCAATGTTTCATGTCACGTACATATTAGACAAATATACTTGCATTTATTTCCTGATCAAATCTTCCAAAAGAACATTTTTTTTTGCCACTATAATTCACACTTTTTGTCCTTATCTCTCCATAAGTTGTAAAAAAAATTGTGTTCAGGGCCAGTCATATAAAGAGTTATGATTGATCCGAATTATTCCAGAGTGCTCTAATAAATCGCGAGTTTGTCATCTTCTATCTCCTATGTATGTACATTACATGTAGTTGGGAGTGATATCTATCAAAAATAAGTTGTGATCAATCGCAAATATTTACAAGACGGAACCCTGAACACAATTTGTTTTACTTTTAGAACATTCTTCACTGCCTCATTCTGCATGTACCGGTAGACCTTACGTACAGTACATGTAAGTGCATGTATTTTCATAATGCAAACTACAGCCTTTTCACACACAGCTAAAATTCTATAAACATGATTGGTATAAACGTGTTTGAAACGTGTTTAAACTAATCACGAGCCTTTCACACACAGAAATTTCGTTGCGATCGTTCATAGTTTCGTGATTAACTACTGCTCGTAAAATGCGCAGTAGTGCCATTGCGCATTGAAGGTCATGTCATATCAATCAAAGCGCACGCTCCATCCAGTTTAAACACGTTTAAACACGAATTTCCTTTCACACACAAAATGTCAAGCTCTCTAGATACGAACTTCGTATCTGCAGCCTGCTTTTAGGGGCGTATGGATCGCGACTTCGTATCTATCCCAACATCGTATAAACGATGTTCACACTGGGAAATTTTGTCTATAAACATGTTTAAAACTGTTGAGTGATTCTAATCATCTCTAGATACGATGAATTTTAGCTGTGTGTGAATAATAATAATAATAATAACTTTTACTTATATAGCGCTTTTCATAAAACATTTATATCAAAGCGCTTTACAATATTGATACAATTAAAACCTTAACAGAGTAATGACAAGAAAACAAATGAATGAAAGTGAAATTATGAAACATAAGATAACAAGGTAAGATAACAATATAAGAATTAGGTAACAATTTAAGAACTGGGTAACAATTTAAGAGCTAGGTAGAATATGCCTTTTCCATTAGGTAGGTTTTTAATTTTGATCTAAACAAAGTAATATCAGAGATGGAACGAATGGAGGCTGGGAGAGAATTCCACAGACGTGGAGCAGAGCATGAAAAGGACTGCTAGGCTGCTAGATGCATAACAATCATGTACATGTAGTCACGTCCTTCATGTACAGTAGGCCTACATAGTTTTCTTTTCTGCATTTAAATATGTTTTTGCATCACAGCTTACACTGTAATTGTTTGGGGGTTGTTTTGTTGTTGTTTTGTTGTTGTTGTTGTTTTTTTTTTTGGGGGGGGGAGTAATTAGGCATTTAGAGCGATTTTGTGATTTTGTGATTTTGTGATTTGGAACTAAATTTCTTTTTACATTCAATTGCTGTTACAATTTTTCACAAATACTGCAGGGTCGCTTTCTGCATAAGAATTGAAATATGCACTTGTGCAAGTATCAAGTGAAAAGGAAGGCAGATATCGTTTAGAACTAATTTTTCATATTTATGTAAGGACTACATGTAGCTTTATAAGGAAGTACATATCAATGGCAAGTGTTGTGTGCGTACCATTCTTTCCCAAGCATACATGTAGGCTACAGGCATGTGTACACGCAGGCCTATACATACATGTTTGCAATTAAGATCATACATTTTCAGAAATGCAATCAATTTCTTCTTAAAGAAGCATTATTGCTATTCTTTGGATAATCTCAGGCCTGGGTAATCTACACTGAAACAATAGTTGTATGAAATGTACAGGTGTGTGTGGGTTTTTTTTCCCAAAGAAGGATTTCAGACCCCCAAAAAGGTTTCTTTCAACTCCTCATGAAAACATCCAAGCACATTGCAGTAAATTACAATGATTAGGCATGGGCTCCATAACAACTTTTCTTTTTATGATTCTCCACAGAAATCAATATAAAGGCAATCTGTGAAAATTTTAAGGTCCATGCTCACCAGACCCTCCATAGTTTCCGGCCTGGCATGTGTGCTCATGTAAGGTCTCGTCCACGATGCACACATTTTGCAATCGTTATTACTTGGCATTTGTTGATTTTTGTTTCCTCTGCAAGGGCAATCCTCGCAAGCATTTGCTTTTCTACTGGACCTTTCAATATTCCCTACTGTATTTTGTACTGTTGTTTGCATGTTTTTTTATATCTTGCAATGTCAAACAGGTCCATAATAAACTCAGATAAAATTTGCTATATTGAAGACAGAACAGACCCACATGTAGAAATCAGTGTATCAGATGAGGAAAAATAAGTAAAATAAATAAATAAAAGACACTTTTAGAAAAGGTAAACTCTACGCGTATTGTTTTTTTTTAAAGTACAGTTCACAAGAGATTGGGGGTGATAGTAGCTCTCCCAACAGGACTTCACTAATAAATGGATGAATGCACTGCAGTTAGTTAAACTGAGAATGGAAATTCTAGAATTCATTCGTTGGTGAGAATTGGTAAATGCATGTGTTTTGCTTTGTTCATACCTCACCTCAGAAGTCAGAACAAAATAAAGCTTCATGTAAATAGAATGTAGAATGTTCATTGACAGCAAGCAAGCAATGTAAAACACAAAGATGCTGTGGTTGACTTAAAAGCTCAAGTATACAATGTATGTACATGTACATGTACATGTACACACACAATAACAATCAATATCAAGGGCAGAGAGAGGGAGTGCTTTGTCTGCCAAGGCTTGCATGGTATCAATGCACACAAAATGGTTTACAAGGTCAATTACATCTCAATATGTGGCACACTCTTGAGAAGAGAAGACATTGTATCCATCTCCCGAGAGAGAAGGCAAAGTAACCTTCATTCATGACAATACAAAGGGTCTTCCATTTCAACGAGCCAAGGTGTCTCGTTGAAAGAGGGGAGGTAGATGCAACAAGAGAGAAAATCAATTTCAAGACACAAAACATGCACCAGGGGTCATTAAAACCATTTGAGCATGGCAGATTGACTCAGCAGGTGTCCTATAAATAGCACAGCAAGAAAACAGGGGCTTCCCCTAGCCAGGTGACTCATACCCCATCAAGTGTGCCACATATGTAAATGAGATTTTGATTCAATGACATTATCTATCATGTGATCAAGTGGATTGACGTCACAGGAGCATGTCTTCCAGCCCGATTGACATAGGATATTACGGAGACACATTGGCTCTGGGGATTGACTTAGCAATAAGAAGCAGGCAGAGAAGGTCAATGACATGACTCAAGTAGCATGGATTTCCAGGCCGGTTGATCATATCATGAGTGGGCGGAATGTAAACATTGATTATCTTGCTAGCCCTGCCTGCCACTGCCAGTAAGGGCTCTCACACTATCACTGGCTGATTAATTAATAGGCCATGGCATCGCTATTTAATGACCACCTGTCAGTTTCATTCAACTTTTCCATTCAACCCCGTTTCGTGGAAAGCAAGCCACGTGTGACTGAGAAGCACTTGCAATATTGACAAATATTGAAAACTGATGAGTAGTATGTAGTATGAATCACTATTTGCAAAGTTACTGTAGATGTACAGGTGGAAATGTCCAGTTAAAATCTGTACAGCTACTACAAATGCTGGGGAGGAAGTATGATATTATAGATTCTCACATTCAAACATGTACTCTCTTTTCTTATGATGTAATTCTTAACAACTAATTTTCCAAATGATTTTCCAAATGATTCAGCAAAACTGCCTGGTCTTTGAAGCAGTTGTTATTAAAAGTCCTGGAATACGATTCTTTTTTTTAATTCCAGGAGTGCTTGAGATTTATGGACATTACTCATGGAGCACCCATACGTACAGTCACTGCTTATTGGCAAGTGAACAGTGAGTGCAGTGAGTATACATTTCTAAGTGCATGGACATATATGTACAAGTGTATGTACCCCATTTTACGAGAGGGGGTGGAAGTGACAATTATCATATGCTGTAAGAGTTAATTATCATGCATAAATTTAGAGTGCATACATGTACATACATGTACATGCCATCTCAAATCTCACACATACTGGACATCGCCCATTAGACTGTCTATCACTTTAATTCTTGCTCGAAGTGATAGCACTCTCTATAGTTGATTAATACATGATTTTGCTCCTAAGCCCCCCCCCCCCCCCTCCCCAATCTGTTATGTAAAAATACAGATGAATTCATGTGCAAGTTTTCCTATTCTTGACAATCTCGTAAAAGTATTTTCCCTGCCAAAGAAAAAAAGAGTAGGGTGAAAAAAATTTGAATTTTCTTCAGCTAATTTTCATAATTTAACAATCAACATTATAATTCTCGTTAAAAAAAAAAGGAATGCATCATCTTTTATATTTAAAGTGACTGCACAAGAAATCAAAATTGTGATCTGCAACTTACTGGTAGGCTTGGTGGTCTGTTAATTGCCCCATCTTGTGATGCTGCCTTATTGGACGATGATGAAGATGAAGATGATGAATTCTGTGACGAGGCAGCTTGTTGGTTGCTACTACTACTTCTACTACTCGGGAAGTTCCGCGGTTGCTGTTGTGGCTGAGAAGAAGGGGGTTGTTGTTGGTTTTGGTTTTGTTGAGGTTGTGAGGTTTGGTGCTGCTGCTGTTGTTGTCGTTGCTCCTGCTGCTGCTGCTGTTGTTGTTGTTGTCGTTGCTCCTGCTGCTGCTGCTGTTGTTGTTGCTGCTGTTGCACAGGTGGTGTTGGTTGGGTCTCCACAGGACCGGACTGTGAAAGTGGTGGCTGACTGGGTTGGTTACTTGGTTGTGACTGAGACACAGAGTGTGGCGACGGTTGTTGTGGTTGTGGTTGCTGTGGATGGGTAGAGTGAACCATGTTTTGCTGCTGCGGCTAATAGAACAAAATGGAAGTAAAATGTCAACAAAGACATTAGATATACATGTACATCTTTTAGAAATGTAGCAAACAACTTCTTGCACATCTCTAATTGATCAAAATATTATTCATATAAATGACTGACTGAAGCACAGTAACCAACTGTATGAGTGATGTTTGACAATGTATCGTGCTACTGCATCTCTTGGCGAAACACAAGTATCAGCAACTGTTAACAACCTTTTTGTGCATATTTTCTTCAGCATCAAATATGATGGAAGCCATCTCAAATCTCAAATGTACCACTACAACAGTACAACACACAAAGATTTGTTAAGACAGTCCTGTATGCTGTAGAGGCTGTAAATGTATACATTTCACAAATCACTTTCCAAGACCATATTACTAAATTCAAAGTTAATGCATTTTTGTGGTGCAGTGTACATGTACCATCATTACCATGAAAAGCATTGCATGCAGGAATTTAAAAAAACTACACAATCACAAAATCAAGTGTACATTGTATTTAAAGTTAATGCACAAATTTGATTTTTCTGGTCGGAAATGAATTCAGGACTGCAGATCAAGTCTCATGATCAATTTTTTTTTAAAGAAGACGTAACTCTTCAATAAAACATGCCGTCAAACACGGATAGATTCTGATAGAAATTGAGAGTACAACTAAAAGCTTACACAAGATGAAAATCATGAAACTTAAGAATTTATACAAAATACCATTAAATTAAAAATATCCTACAAAAAAGAAGAGAAAAGAAAATGCCTTGCATAAATATTAAAACCAGGCATTATAGAATGCTCAGACAGTCAATAGGAAATACATTAATGTATTTGTCTCTTGTAATATTTAACAACCATAACAAACTACAGTGTATATTTTACAATCTATTTTTTATAATTACATAATGTGTAAGCCATTTCATACCCGGTAGAGGACATTTTAATCAAGGGGATTAATACATACATGTACACTCTCTATCCCTTCAAAACCACATTTAAAATGTTTAAATAAAATCTCAGTTATTAGATGGCAAATCACATCTGGCAAGGTCAAACCTTAAACAATTTCAATCCACACAAAACATTTAACCAGACATTTCTTTAACGCAAACTTAAAGGTGAAGTTCAACCTGATCTAAAGATGATTTCAATAGAAGTAAAAAATTTAGAGGAACAGGTCACTGACAGTTAAAGAAAATCCAATAAAAATAAGGAAGTTCTGAATTTCTACAGTTTTAATCAATCAAACACAAAATGACAAATTTGTGATCAAGGAACTCCCCTTCTTTTTGATCTGGAACACAAAAAATGTTCTCTTTTCTCAAAAGAAATAACAATCGCACCTACAGGGGTGTATGTTTATACATAATCCCTTTATGAAAATGATTCCTTCATCAGGAAATCTGTGGAATTTTCTGTACAGGGCATTTTGAAGAGGACCGTGCAAGATTGCATGGCCAATTTGTGTTTGATTATAATATATCTTCAAATTTGTTTAACTTTCCTATTTTCTATCGAAATTTGCTCAAACTTTCACCTTTCTGTTGCTTCCATTCTTCCTGATTTTATTAAAACCAACTAAATGTCAGGGTGAACTTTCCTTTTAAGCCAAGGTTATCAGAATGTTGCTTCTTGTCCTACGCAATTACCAGAAATACACTCTGTTCAGACAACCATTATTCATTATACAATGTAGTAACTTTTTTTTTAGTGTGAACGTCGCATAACAAAATTTCATACAGCAAAATGGATGTTTGAGCATCACTTCAAATGTACTCTTGACAACGTTTCATACGATTCGGTAGGGCTATAATTTGTGAGTGAACACTGGTTTTCGGCCAGCTGTATCCTACTGCTACGGTCACAAAGGTTCGTACGAACAATAATTTCGTTAGAATCTCTGTTTTTCCATTGTCTGAAAATCGTTCGTAATGGCATCTGTGACCGAGGCTTAAGCCAACACTAAACATTTCCGATTTCTCCAATAATAGTTCATAATTTGTCCATGTGTGTACGTCCCTTTCGCTATACGATGTTCCCTTATACAAGTTTCGCACCAATTTCTAAGTGTGAACAGGCTATCAATCACTATATCATTATCATCATCCCCCAAATTACCTGTTGGTTCCACATTTGTGATTGTGGTCCTTGGTGTGGCATGGGTAGGGAGGGTGGTCCCCCAGCACTGTTGCTGCCACCGCTACCATCTCCCTGAGGCGTGTAGCCTGAAGGAGAACCGTAGTTGGTGCCTTGCGACTGGCTTGTTGGACCATAGTGAGGGGACATCTTTAGGGACACAAATTGAATATTGAACAATTGACACTACTAGTAAAAAGTTGAATATTTTCAAATGTACAATCTACCGGTAAAATAATTTATTTTCTTGCTATTCAGTTCTATAAGATATATATAGACGGAAGAAAGAAGGACCCAAAAAAAGAGGGAAGTGGCCTTTTACCAACAATATTATTTTATGAGGTCCTCGACATGATTTACATTTTACAGACCTGCCTTCAGTGTGTGTGTGTAAGACCGACTATTCGTAAATGAATGCTACTGTTGAATTTTTTGGTACTGATTTTTTTCTCCTAGCTTTTTATCTGCACAGAATAGAGAATTTTCAATGTTACATAAGGTCAACCTATCAAGTGTTCTGACATGACAGCATATCTAGCGGCCATGTTGTTGAGAAAGCAATGCATAGAGCAAGTAAAGAGATGGGGGGACAAAAACATAGCTGCGCCTGAGCAACAAAGTCCCCTAACAACGAATCATTCCACTACAATATTTGGAATCCAGTCTGTATATTACTTGTTGCTATATCAAACAAGCCTTGGGTAAGCTTCCACGTTGTCAAGAACAACCTTTGTTTTTGAAAAGCAGCATAAAGCGTGACTACGTTAGCAAATAGGTCTATTAGGCAAGTGCCGCAAGTCCAAGCTATTTTGTCCCAGACAAGTACATTACTGACCACATCAAAGATTTTAAGATTCTGATTTTATATCGTGCAACCCTACTAACAGATTGTCTGTGTGCTCACTCACACAGAGGATGTTGGACAAACGCACTATGATTTTAGTCATTTCAGTTTGCCAGTTGCTAGGAATTTCTAGACAACTGAGAGGACTTGCTCTTCATTTTAATACACATGCATCACAATATCAATCTGGTTGCTATGTCAGGCCAGTTGTCCAGATGTCTTCAGCTATCTATGCACACTCAATAACGAATGTCATGCAATAAGCAGGGCTCCACACTAACTTTGTTGGAAGTGGACCCTATGTAATAGTTTTAAAAATTTGGAGCTTCGGACTTAGATTTTGAGCGTCCATGCATCCCAGGCGCACCTTGGTGTCCAGCCCTGCAATTAGATTCCATTTGTTATGATAATTGAAGTATCTATTCTGAAAGTAAGCATGTAAGAATGTTTGAATTGCCATCCTTTGGCAATTACACTTTTCTTTCAAATCAAATCATTAACAAAATATTTTTCTCAAACTACAAAGTGTGCCATAGTAGTACTGTCTTTGATATGGAACGGTTTTCTCACTTCCTCAGTACAAAGTCTGCAGAGTGACAAACCAAGCAGTAATTCATTGTGGAAAATCAAATTTTGTTTGCCCTGAAAAGCAACATCATTTACCATAATCAGTCTTACATTTGTTCACACATCTTCATAAAAAATTACACTTCATGAAGAAGAAAACAAGGACTCGATCCTCATTTGTATATATAATAAATTCAAAATGATACAAAGTTATTACACTTGATTTTGGCAGCTTTGGAAAACAAAAAAGAAAATGTGGTACTTACATGTAAATGTGGGCCAAAAACCAACTAACTAGCCGAGCCTCTCCCCCCCCCCCCCCCTTTTCTCCCTTGCAAAAAAACAACAACAAAAAAACCTGGAGCATTATATCAGACATAAGAAATAATCATCAAAATACACTGTATATCTAAGGCCTAAAAAAAAGATGTTGTATTGCCCTTTAGGTGTCAGAACCTGGGTCAGTCGGTCAGATTTTTTTAAATTTTTAAACTCCCCCTCAAAACAGCGACCGTCGCCCAAAAAACTCAAAACTGGGACCGTCGCCCAAATCTCGCTGGTTTCTATCTGGTGCAGTGCATGGAGTTTACCAGAGATGCCAACCCTATAGGATGGTTGTCAGTAACATTTACCTCATTTTGCCGTAACAAATGGGGGTCTTTCCGGAACGCAAGACAACACAGCATATTTTCGTGCAAAAACGGACGCAAGCCAATACAACATCCTTTTTTTACACCTAATGACAGAGAAGGCTCAGCTCTGGTACAGATAAAAAGTGAATTTGTGAGCTACAATGTATCTCATTGTTTGTGCATTGTCAGTTAATTTGGAAGAATATCATCTAGAATCAGTAGATTGTAACCTGAAATGTGTTGCTTTCAAATCCCCTCATATTCAAATTATGATGAGAAATACCTGGAAAGCTTGGTCCAAACTGTCCTGCTACATTTGTGTGTAGTCCCATATATGATCCATTTTTGTTTGCAATGCATGTGATTTCAATGAAACTGAGTAAACTTTGTTTTTCATTTTGATCATTCCAAAACCTCACACCTTCTCAATTGTTTCCTGATAGTTATCATAGTTTCATTGACAATGTAATTGCATTACTAGGTCCCCTTTACATAAAATTTGCCACTGATGGTAACTTTGCCATCAGTATTAACTTCCATGGCAACATCACTCAACAGTAAATCAAATCAATGTTTCTGTGTTAGTTACCATTGATGGTGAAGTTAACATCCATGGTAAGTTTTAGCAACAAGGCCCTGTACTTTACTTTACTTTATCTACCATGTACAAGTATGCACGTGGGGAAAAATTGGATCTAAAAAGTGCATTACAAGTGTTACAAAAGAGAAGATCAAAATGAAGGAAGCGAGTATACAAAATTATAACTCATTGAAAATTCTTTGCATCCTGATTCCTGTCTAATACCCCTTTCATAGTATTTCTATCAGGAGTCACACCAATGAAAATACAGATAGAATTTACCTATGTAAAACAAATATGAAATGACCGCTTTCCTGCATGTGCCATTCATACTGCCTGTGAAATTCACTCGAGGTGGCGAGCCCCGGCCAGAAGTAAAGAAATATTGAGCAATCGCTTGTTACATGTAGCTGCTGTCACGCGCTTTGATTTGGATTTGCGGAAATCCATTGTACTTGCATTAAGTTTTTTAGTGATCAATTTTTGAATATTGTTTTGTTCACCTTTTGGTCTAATAAATATATAATTTTCAATAAATATATTATCATAATTTGGATGTTTTACAAAGCTTATTAATAATGTAAAATACAAATAAAACAAATCAATAAAAGCCCTCGCCCATCTACATGAAGCTAGCAGCATGTTCACGCAAATGTGCATGCATATGTATCAACAAAACGTTAACAAACACAGCTAGCTGGGTTCCGAAAAAGCGTGCATACACTAGCTTTAGCCAGAACAAGATAACACCCTTTGACTATTTTGATCAGCGTTTTTTCCTGTTTTTCTCCTGGCCGTTTCATTTGAGTCACACCGACAGAGAGAGAATTTCATCGCCTATTTCATTTATTTTATCAGCCTTTTCTCCTCTGTACCATTCATAGTGGCCGTTTCCATTGGATGTGTCCAATGAAAATCAGGCCGCTATGAAAGGGGTATAGTTTCAAGCAATCATATTTTACATCACTTCCGAGGAACTAAATTGTCAAAATATACTTCTCTGCATCAGCCATTATCTGGCCCTAGAAAAGGGAATATGAAAATTGTAGGGAAGGCCAGTACATGAAGTTGATTCATGAAATAGCCGATAACAAAAACAGGGGTTTTGAGGAAAAGTATTGGCAAACATAAATATCCCCTCCTTAGAACCAATCCTTCACAAACATTTCATCATTTACTAATGATGCTCGGAAGTAGTCATCCCTTGGCATTGTGAAAGAAACTGTTCGCTGATATCAATAAAAGCGTACTAAACTTTATCCTACATTCGAAACCCAACTACTGTAAGTAGAGTAGGGTTCACCACCTTATATGAAGCATCAAGTGTCTACCTCTTCTATCCCGTAAACAAATTGTATTTCTGCAACTACTGTAAATGATTGAACAAAGTAGTTTCATTAAATCAACTTGTTCGTTCATTTTCATTATATCCATTTATTTTGCACCAGAAATTGGTCAAAAGGGATACATATTTCTCATGTTTTTTACTGACAGGTAGTGACAACACTTGGAGTGTAACCCATTTTTTTTGTTATTAGACATTGCTAATACATTCTTCCATACGAGAATAAAATAATGAGAACCTTAAAAGCTCATCAATCATATTTCATCTTTAATAGAACCTCAACTTTCTCTTGTACAAGATATACACAATAGTTTAATTACAATGATTTGAAAAGAAATATTTCCTGTAAAACCAGAAACTTTTGTGAAGAGAAGCGGTGGCCTTCCTTGCCGCATTTGACATTTGCGAATTGCCATGCATCCCCCACAAAATAATCTATATATCGACAGCATGAGAAAGAAACCATCAGATACAATTTTGTACAAAAATATAATATACCGGTATCACAAAGTATACCTGCCAGCTTTCGCGCTGGTAAACAAAGCATTATTTTCATGAAGTAGTAAGCAATTGAGGTACAGAATTTGACTTTCATGATTCTGGACTCCTCATGAAATTCAAAAAATAAACAAAGTAATCATTTCAGCTTTTTTACTGATAAATTCCTGATTTTTAAAGTCGATTTCTTTTTTTCAAAATAATGAATTTGTCAAATTGTTTTCTTTTTTCAAACATGTACACCTGTATGTTCATTTCACGATCGCAATTGCTATTGTGATCATAGATTTGCAATCATGAACGTCCAACGTGACCATCGAGACATGTTTGAGAAGGTTTAGAAGACAACAATTGACTCAAACCTAATGTTTTATTACATGAAACTTCAAAGCTACAGAGATGCCCATCAGACTATAATTTCTCATTCTCACCTGTTGGGGAAACTGGCCACTGCCGGCACTAACGGCACCACCAGCTCCACCTCCAGCGCTTCCGCCACCGGCGCCACTGCCTGGTGCACCGCTGTACGTCCTATTGCCAGCATACATAGGGTTGGGGAACATCTGAGGTGACATGCCAGAGTACTGGCGTCCTCCATATTGACTCGGATAGGGTCCAGGAGGGCCACCAGGGTAGGGCCTCTTCTGCATAGGGCTCTGACCATCGGGCATCATTCCCATCTGCCACAAAAATTGCAGAATGGAGAGGGGTTTAGTTTTGGAAAGCTCAGGGGGGAGGTGGGGATTTTAAAAATATAAGCAATTCATCAAAAAAGAAATTCTTACTTCCTAAATCCTATTGAAGGGAAGAAAAAGAAGATAATGTGAACAATATGAAGATAGAAATTATGAACAAAAGACCACAAAAAAATTATTACCCGGTAGTGCAATATAAAACATTCCCATTGCAATGAGAAATAACTTACATGTATAAATAAGTACTCCAAGTGAGTTATCAAATATACATGCAAGAAACAAAACAAAAATCCATGTAAGCCTAAGGAAGAGTAAAAAATCATTGCTGGGGGGGGGGGGATATAAAACTATGAGATGTCTGCTGTTACAAATCATTTCAATTATTGTTGAAACATTGCCAGAAGCGGTAGTATATTCGTCTAGATAGTACATAGTAGAAACTTTGCACAACAAACAAAGACAACTATATGCACACACTGGAGGAAAAAAATGAAATTGAAATATGTTTGAACCTTCATGACCCCTCTCCAAACCCCCACATGAAGAATCAGTCAAAGAACATTCACATTCATCATACCATGTATCAACTATCAAACAATAAAATTAAGGAATGCATGCGCTTGGCTCCCAGCAGGTGGGTGGGAGGTGGCACTGTTCAGCTGTTATTGTGATCTCCATAAAATATTGGCTGGCCTTCAAAGAAACACCATCACTCTCTCAATTCAGGGGAATCCCCTTCCCAGCCAAGTGAAAGAAGGAAAAAAAAAAGGAGGGGAGACTAGTAATGTTTTGCTTGTAATTGGATAGTACCTCCAACCACAAGCATTGTTAAGTCCATTCATAAGAAATCTCATTGTTGACATAGGTTGTTCAGTGTATAGTGTATACAATAGTTGTGGGATTATCTGCACTTGTATTCTTCTTTTACCTTTCTTGGAAGTAGGCACTAGAGGTGGGAGGGGACATGATGGAGGATCAAATAAACTTTCAATTTTCATATAAACTAAAAATAATATCCGATACGGTCATCTCTCACTATTTTACCCTGTATGTGTACCCGTAGGTATTAACAGAATCTTCTACATGTATGAGAAATCTTTCAGTGCAACCAGGCATGAAATAAATTTGAATCGAAGCAGAAAATGAAACAATTCAATACAAAATTGAGAATTGTCAAGGTAGCAGAAAGATCATCATCACTACATGAATTGCAATTTTAATATTTCCTTTTCACAAGGCTGAACTCTTTCTCTTTCTGTTCTTTTGAATTTTATCATCCTTCTTTTCTCCAAGAATATATTCTGTCAATTCTGTCCTTGCAGTATTTCATCCTAAACAAATCTGCTCTTTTCTTTGAACTTTATTTCACAAATTAAATCTCTTTTGATATAACTGGGTTAGAACAGGGAAATTTGAAATTGAAGGATGTTTATTAGCATTTAATAGCAATCTCAATGCTGGGACCCTTTTTTTCCTCTTCTCATTTTGAAAATAGGCGTATCTCATAATACTGTATTACTGTATGCCCTATTGCCCTCTCTCTAATCTCTACTCAGTGTATTTTTACATTCTCATACTTAACATTTTCGTAGATAAAGTCAGACTCATTATGAATTCACAAAATTTAATAGTATATCCATAGACTACACTCACTACAGAGATAGTTGCTTCTTTCTCAAAAGTTGACCATTAGTATTTTTTCTTAATAAAGCTTAACTTTTCAAAAGATTCAGAAAAAAAGAATTGAATTATCTTCCTTTGCACATTGCGCAATGAGTATAACCACACGTGTGTTTTAAATGGAATATGTTTTTGTTTATGCATAAAAACACATTCCATTTGCTGTTTGAAAATGATAAGTCTGGATAACCAGTCTCCACTCTGTAGATGTACTCATAGCACAACGTACAAAATAACTCTTCAACCTGTCCCTACAAAAAAAAAACTGTAACAGTTTGCCACCTCCTCTTTTCATTAGATAAGATTGGATCACATAATTTTACACCATTGCATATATTGCATACAGCTAATACTTTACTTAGGCTAGTCTTACTGCTTCAAACAGTAAACATACAATATTGATAATGTCATATAAACATGGTTACTATTACTATTCAACAACAAAAATCAAAGATAAGTTTTAAGCACCACTGCACAGTGAACACTTTCCAAAGAGCTGCCCTGCCTGCCCTCGACCCTAGCCTGAACAAACCAAAGCGAGAATGTGATGTACCTGACTACGTTGATACGGGCCCATCGGATGTTGCATATGGCCTCGATTGGGCCACTGTGATTGATAAGGACCTCCTTGTCCCATCATCCCCATGGAACCATCAGGTCCTTTTCCTGCATTTACATCACCCTGTCCTGCAAAATTCCCAGAAAAATTATGACTCGGGTGCTTTTGTCCTTGTAAAAGTTGTGAAAGAGTTGGAGCTGTGCTCGAGATTCGGTCTCCCGGACCGTACGCTCGCGGATTGTGTGAGCCGGCATAACCACCCGCACTGCCCGGGCCCATCGGCGAGACCATTCCACTTCGATTAGACATATTCGGGTATCCTGGTCTGGAGCTCATATTCCCATCAAACTGATTGTATGTGTTTGTGTGTGCCATGGCTTGGTTGGGGGCTCCAGCACCAGAGTTTGCATTTCCTGTCACACCAGGTCCGCCATGTTGGTTCATTCCATAACCTCCATTGTTTCTATTTCCAAAATATCCACCACCATAACCATCTTGACCAAAAGACGCTTGTTTATTACCACTACTATTCTCCATGTATTGAGGTAAAGCACCGCTTGAAAACGGATCAACGTTTGGACTGGGCCCGTTGTACGAGCCTGCGTTGGGGCGACCCGCTTGCGGAAGCACGCCGTCTGACTGGCCTGTTGAGTTGCAGTTTGGCGTCTTTGTCACATTACCATCCTTCGACATATTCATCGATTGCTGACCATGAGAATCCATAGAATTATTAATTCTTACTCCTCCTTGCCCATCAGCTATAGGACCCGGTACTCCTCCGTGTCCTCCGCCGCTGCTGGGGTCATGAGGTTGCGTTCCCTTCCCGGTTGTGTTGAATTCAGAAGGCCTGTCTGCATTTTCCATTGTGTCGTCTCTCGCTTGTTGGACACGGCCCAGTGCTGTAATTTCTTCATCACAATTGACATTTGCAGCAACCTCTGTTGCCATGCTGTTCTACGGAACACAAAGCTTGAATGTGCGTTCCATTGGGCGCCAACCCCAATGTTCCATTACTAACAAGAAAACATAGATATCAGTTTGTGCGCTTCTTCGATCCGCACACGTGTTTTGTAAGTGCGATTTAGAGAATAACATAGAAAACTTAGTCTACCATCGGGAAGTCCTTATCACGCGCATATATTCCCTTATTTATTGTAGGAGCCTATGGAACTGTATTAGGTGAATTTGCAAAAATTTTGTAACGAAAATTCATGCGCCGAGGGGTATAAATTTCATTGAAAATGATGTGTTTCTCATTTGTTCTACCCCCCTTTTCATTCTTGATAAATAATCAAATTCACATAAAGTCACACAGGTGACAATGGGTGCGTAAGATCGGACTGTTCTCCAATTATTTGAGAACTAATTCCTTTTGCCTCGCTAGGACACTGCATTCCACGGCGGTAGACAGTCCCAGGCATTCTTTTCATCCTGCTTTAGCGGAGCTATTCCGTGCACTCCCTCTGGAAATTACAAAAGTGCATTGCATTGACAAGACAGGGTGTAATTGCTATTTATCTTATAATCAAAGTAAAGCTAACCAATTATTCAATGTAACCTATGGATATCATTTCACATAATTAACAATTTCTTCTTAAAATCAAAGTTTTGGGAAAGTGAGCGGAGGCCTGTGGAGGGAGTGAGTGCGCTGCCCTCAGCTATCGGATTACCAGCGAGTAATTGAACACTGACGTCAGCAAGGCCGCATTTCTATTCGGTCTTTTGTTTGTAGTCGCTGTGCCCCAGTAGTACCGTGTTTCACAGATGAATTATTTGCGATTTTCTTTTTTTCATTTATCCCGCCGTTTCCTCGGGCCGACCTCTGAAGCAATCTCATGCTCTCAAATCTCGATAACCACCAATGGGATGAGAGGACTATTACTCCAAGTTTTACGGGAAAATGCTCCGCGCATGAACATAGCGAATTCAGCAAGGTTAATTAAACTACGCTGTCGTGGCAGGATGTTGCTATTTTTACTATTTAGGAGTCATAGCCATGGAAATATACGAGTAAAAAGCAACAAAATACTGAGCTCATTGATAACACGCACGGTGTACCAGTAGAAAATACACCATTAGTATGCAAATATCCTATATTTTTACAGCTCTGAAACTATGTTAAATACCATAATTGGACCCGAATTGAAGTAACCACAAAAATATTATTATTTCAGTTCGAAAATGAAAGGAAACCAATGATAACTATAGTGAATGAAAACTTCCTCTATTTATTCAGATATTCGTGAAAAAATATACAAACAAAATTCGAACAAGAGCGAGACCAAAAAACATATCACTGAATACTAATCATAGTGTAATAAATATTTAGGCCTATTTTTAAGAGTTGATGGATCAATTTAAAAAACCTTCCCCTCCCCTCTATATGTATATACATTTTTAAAAAAATAAACAGTGTGTGAATTATAACCAATTTAAAATTTAATAAAACGTTGCTTTGTGTCCATCGAGACATCTCGGGAATTCATTTGAAGGGGGAAAGGGAACCTTGCTGCGTTCAAAGTTATAAACTCTGTGTTTTCTACCATAAGCTGATTTATCACCAAAATTATAGTTGTCTCCGTTTCAAATTCTTCTATGAAAAATTGTATCATTAGATTTTATCATCACCCCAAATTTGTGATTATTCCGTCTTCCTATATTCTTATTTATAAAAATGCTCGATCTGAAAAATTAGCCCATGCAGAAGTACGGTCAAAAGTAACGAAATCAGGAATGCAATTTTTTCCTCTAATGAGCAACGGAGCGTAACAAAATAACCACGTGGATATTTGCTGCAACAGTGCTGGTAAAGATGAATGAGGGTACCTTTTTAATTACTTTCAACCATAACTAGATTTGCTTATGAGAGATGCATATGATGCCTATTCATTACAAACATACGGATTATACTCAACTGCATAAATCAAGTTAACTTTCAACCAATGAGAAGGGAGCAATTTATCAAGAGTTAGTGTTCGAATTTCGTTGTTTCGCCAGAGGCCCTGGAAGAAAAGACAGGATTTTTTTCTGATTCTTTATTTACTGTTTCCTTTTTTTTCTTCATAACCCCTCTTCCTCTTCTTCTTTTTCTTCTTCTTCTTCTTCATTATTTAAAATTTCATCACATTTTGAACAACAAAAAACAGAATAAAACAACAACTGGGTACATTGCATCTAATACAAACGTGAACTGTATGGAATTAAATCAAAATGGGTATAGATCTACCTTCGACAGGCTTGAAAAGAGCACTGCAATTTTCAATTTTGAGTATACATTGTAAGAGAAGCTAAGACTTATTTTCCATGTGATTAATTATGCGATTCGTAAACCCACCTGAGCTGAGGGTTGAACAATGATTACCTTAAAATCGTTACATAGAATGAACATCTTCCAGTGTTTTTATTTTACTCATTCATTTATTCTTTAATTTTTTAGGTCTTTTTATTTTGTATTTCTCTTCATTCTTTTATCATTTATTTTTCATAATTTTTTGTTCCATTCTTTTATCATTTATTTTATATTTCTTCCCTTTTTTGTTGTTGCATACTAATGCATTCACAGAGCAATAAAGACATGATACGATTACGTTTAGAAGGATAATTGCGTATAAGTGCCAATAAACCAGACATCTGCAAATGCATTAAACCCACGATCCCGTTTCGTATGTACATCAAATTACACTAAATTTACCGGAATGTAGTTTATTCGGAAATCATTTCAGTTCTCTTCATTTTTCAATATATTTAAAATCATAGAACGATGCATGAAAAAAGATATTTACAAGAAAATAGTTCCAGCGATTTAATTGATGGATATCGAAAAGATCGTTGACCTTTTACGTCACATCAATACCATTGTCTTATGCGCGCCTTTGATGTTCACCGACATTCTCCGAAAATGGATCAGGCGCGCGCCGTCCTTTGACTACGCGTACCGACAAATTCATTCACAAAAACAATAACATTGATAGGTCAACAAACTTTATATCTTTGGCACAGCCAAAATTTTTACTTTCTGGTCCATTCTGGATTAAGAAATTTGTCTTCGGGAAGACCACCGTCGAATCTACCATATTCCTGATGAAAGAAATTAAATATTAAGTTGCATTTAGGGGATTCGGGCCTCGCCTGTGGATAAACCCAATTTATTGCTTCATCTTCACAACATCTTGTATAATCTTCAGCTGTGCTTTTCGAGCAAGCATGATTTTGATTCATTAATATTATTTTTCCCTCTATGATTCTCTCATGATCTTAGTCCATCGGAAAGATTTTAGCTGAGAATAAAGACATAGGTAAAAGAATAACTCAAAAAGTGAACCTAAGTTTAGAAGGCCCGGTTGTTATCTAATTTGCTCTGATTTATTGTTCGTATTTTGGTTCTAAAATATGCAAACAATTTTCTTTAAAGTAACCAGCTTTTGAAATATATTTTTATTTAATAACTAAAAACTATGCCTATACTTGAAAAGAGCTTCTGGTGATATTGTTCTTTATTGAGTGAATAAGGATGATTTGCGAGAATTTTTCAACGGCCGTCAAAAGAAAATTACGAGTGTAGGCATTCCCGAATGTAAAAATATTCAGAAATACCAATGGAAAATAAAATGAAATATTATGTGCGATGATATTTGTAAAAAGAATGAATAAATGCATTATAATTGATACGAAAGTCAGTAATTTATTATTTTGGGCAAAATGGGCAAAATGATGAATACTGTATCCCAACTTCCACCAAATTCTGTCTGTCTCTATCTCTCTCTCTCTCTCTCTCTCGCTCTTTCTCTCTGTCTCCAACTGTCTTTCTTATCCATCAATAAACTGTCTTTCTAATCCATCCTTACCTTTTCTATTTCTCTCTCTCTCTCTCTCTCTCTCTTCATATTTGTTAACATATGTAAGAATCAAACACACTGTACATTCAGGAACCACAAAAAGCTAATTATATGCCAAATGAATTAAATGTATATTATATGATTTAATGTCATTTAATTTATTCATTTACCAGCAGAGATTTGGTACAATACATTCCTATAATCCTATGAGAAAACATTGTTTGTGAAAAGGGACTAGATCACAACACATGAGCCAGTCCAGCCTGACCCATCACGGTAATTAGACAAATGTAGAAAAAGGGATAGAACAATAATATTACAATTGGTGATATCAAAACAAAACAAGGAACACAGACGAACAACAAACAAAACCCAAATAGGCTAAGAGTCGAAAACGGAGATCTACTAATTAGGAAACAGTATTAAAATATTCCCTACGAAAGCCATAAGGAAAGTTTAAAAAATCAAATATTCGTGACTTACTTCGGAAAGTTCAGTTTGATTGTTTGTTTTTTATAAATCTCCTTATACTCCTAAAAGCTTCTAAATTTCATTTTGTTTGCATCAGGTGAAAAACAAGGTAAGTCTTTAAACGTCATTATTCAACCTTTTTACAATGAACGTCCTATTATCAAGGAATTGCGGGGGGAGAATTGGTAGTCGATAAATAACAATGAACATTTTTTTCTTCATTGATTTATATAATTTACCCTTCGTTTATAATATAGAAAGCATACATACACTTAATTTTCATCTTCTTCACTTCGTTCGCGTACGTTCCTAAATCTATAGATATCGATTTATATTTGTCCTTCTCTGTACAAATTAATTTTCCCTATGAAGAGATTATTCTTAACGAACTTCTTTCTAATTTTTCATGACTTACATCACTTTCGTGTACTTATGGTGTTATAATTGTCAGATGAATGTATTTCAGAAGAGATGGATCTTCAGACAAATTAAACGTTTAGCATGTTTTCTTGTTTTTGTTCTTGTAAGTATCATCATGTCACCGACTGCCAGATTTTCATCAGCATTACATTATTCTGCAAAACTAACCGTAATGTAAATGGTTATTTTACATAGGCCTATCACAGTTTCTGTGACTCATGAATTCTATAAACATTTTTATTTGATACGAAACAAAAAATAGTATATTACCGCGTAATTCATCATGATACCCATTTGAGTAAAGCAATGATTTCGAAGTTTATACTGTGAAAACTGTCATTTGTTTGTGTGTGTGCTCATGGCACATTATGTGACAGGTCACCACCTCCAGCAATATCTAGATTTGATCATGATGTACCTTTCTTCCTAATTCCACTATTCCTGTGAAAATTCCAAGTCAGTTTTCCCAGGATGATGCTTCCTCCCAATTATATCATACTATTGTAATTATTTCTTTCACACGTATTTATTGTTTTAGATAAAAGTGTTTGCTTGCTGCCACGGACATTCATTGTTTTGTTGATTCCTGCTATGAGTTCATTAATTTTCTTCCAGATAAAAAAAATATCTCCTGCAAATATGATACAACGTTCCCCCAATTCAGCTTCACAACTTTGAGTCTATTCTCATAGTTCATAGTTCATTTTATTTCTTCTTTCACAAACATTTGTACATAGAATTTCAAATAAAGTAACTGGAACAGCAGATTTTCAATATAACAAACATAATTTGAAGCGCAATAGTAATGTTCAACATACATCTCTTGTTATTAACTAAAGAAATTCTATAAAAAAGTTATTGATGTAAGATCATGTTCTGTACATGAAAGAAAGAGGATACCTTATAGAAGCTGGGCTTGTAATGGCAAGGTCCCCAAACAGAATATATTTCCTGAATGCTTAAATTTCTTTGAAGAAAAAATACTAAAAACAACTAAACTACCTTAACAGATTAGAAGCATTTACACATGGGAAATATGTACAAAAGGGAAAGATTGATGTATCATGAAAAGGAGAAAATGGGAAGATATATTGGAGATATATACATAAGGATGGAGAGCGAAAGCGCGAAACAGAACAAAACAACAAAAGAGAAAAGTTGAGAAGGAAGAAAGAAAGAAAGAAGAAGAAATCATTGCCGGTTTTTATAAATTAGTGTCATCATGAATAAATATTAAATGGAGTTATAATGCTCAAAATTAAGTATGAGAATATCCCTCATGTACTACGTTGATGTGGATTAAAAACACGGATGTCTACGGAAAAAGAAAAAGGAATATCACTTTTATTGTCTGATTTTCAAGACGCCCTCTCGCGAGCTCAACAAGTGATCTCGCAGTGGAAATCAATGACAGTTATATCATGCTAGATGGCGCTCTTCTTAAAAAACATAGAGATTCGATCATACATATGTCCTACTGTGTAGGGACAAATGTAATAAATATATAACTATAACACAAAAATTAATGCAAAGACAAATGAATATAAACATACTAAACAAAGTTGATGATTACACAGAAATGACGATGATTTACTAAATCTTGAGGCTGATGCATGTAGATATATTTTGTTCGGTAAGGCTTATATTATCTTACCATCCCAGTTTATAAGTTTGTAACCCCTACATATACATCACAAATGTTTTAACAAATAAAAACAAGTGTTTATAACTCCTAACCCCCGAACAAAATGCAAACAATATATGAAAATAATTATGGTGATGATAAACAATCAAGAAGAACAACAATAATAATAATGATAGTAATAATAATGATCATAATAATAATAAAGATTATAATAATAATAATGACCATAATAATAATAATATCAATTATATAATAATGATAGTAATAATAATGATCATAATAATAATAAAGATTATAATAATAATAATGACCATAATATTAATAATAATAATGATAATACTAATAATAATGATAAATAATAATAATGTTAATTATATAATAATGATAATACTAATAATGATGATGATAATAATAACAAATGAAATGATAATAATGATGATGTTGACGATGATGAATGATGACAACAAAGACGTACAGCTATAGGAACAAAGACAACACCAGTGCAGTCGTCGAACAATGATGAATAGGCCAGGCCCGCGGAATTTGAACTCAGAACCGCGCGCGACGTAGCAGGTAGTGCATTCGAACACGACTTGACATCGATGGGGCGTGGTAGAGCTAGGTTAGTGGTATATTCCCCATAACGTGTGGATGGCCCCTGCCTTCGTTTGCGGCTTGTTTCTTTTACATCGTCTTTGTCCTTGTCTTTTCCGCTGTTCTCGATAATTACCCAATCCCGTTTACCAGAACAGGAGATGAAATAGTTCGGGCTCATATAGACACTAGATTACTTTGTAGTCACGGTTTCAAGCGGTGCGGTGAGTATTTCTTCTGACAAGTGTCATGTGAGAGATTTGGAAAATGGGCATAAGCATTTTGTTGATTGTGTGTGTGTACCTACGTGTATGTCATGTGTGGATGTATTTGGGTTTTTACAGACGACGTGTATCAATCAGATAATGGATATGATTAAACTTGCGTTCTGGTTAAAAAAAAGAAAAGCAATTCTCACAGAATCTAACGAAACTTACACTGAATGTTCAAGATTACAAGTCATGTGCCAAACAATTTTGGAAGAAAATGTATACTGGCTGAGTAATGAGCATATAGAAAGATAAGGAAATCAAGTAGTACAAGTACAAGCCTCGACACCATTTGTGTTATCCCATCTTTCTGTGCAGTGTGCTTGTCACTTTACCAAGACTGAGCCAAATTTGTTATGAATTTGATGACTCCAGAACCTTGCAGTACACACCAATACTTACATGCTACATGATCAACTTTTTCTGATGCATTTCACACCTTTTCTTTCACAATCAATCGCGTTACCAGAACTCACCTTTATCTTTAAGGTTTGATTATGAATGATTATTTACGTCTGGGGACAGATCGACACTCCCTAATATATGCACATAATGAATTATGTTAGTCAACGCTTATGTCATTCTTTTATTGGCTATATAACCTTAATTAACTTCTCATTTTTCATCCTATTCCTAATCATCATCGTAGGGCGATGCGGTCATCTTCCTGCCCTTCCTCCTACTCATCATGGTCATCGTGGTGTACCTTCATCCAGCTATTCTCTGTTCAGCATCTCTTTGTTTTAGGCCTTATCTCTTGTTGATGGCTGGAGATGTAGAGCCCAACCCCGGCCCACTGGAGTAAGTCCCTAGAAATTTGGAAGTACAGTAAAGCAGGGTGGTAACTGAATGATAACTGACAGAAATTGATAAAGCAGGGCTCTGTTAACACCTAATTTTGACATCGTCTCAGGAATGACGCGGAGCGATTTTGTTCAATTTATTTATGTTGACTAATGTGAAAAGGGTCTGCATCATAGCTATTATAGCGATTATACAGGGAATAATTTTCCTCAAATTTTTTGATTAGCAATTTCAGCCGATGGATAAATATTTCAAATCAAATTCTGTACATTTCTATGGAAGAAAACTGCTACACAAAAGATATTTTGTATAGCAGTCATGCAAAAATGCATAGCAAATTGCGATGCGATACCAGGAAAATTATTCCCTGTTATATATCAAAAACCTGCTCTATTCATACAGATATCAATGTTCACCTCATTTTACGCAACTTACGGTATTCAAAAGATGTGTCTAATAGTAATACAGTATATGTGCTCAGCTGATAAGAGACTAATTTAGATACCCTTCTCATATTAATATTCTTTTCACTTTATTCTCAGTATTTTAATTATGATTGTCATTGTTTGGGCAAAATTGAATCAGTGACAATGTAGGTATGTGAAAAGAAGATATTAAAACATATTATAAAGCAGGAATAAATTTAAATCATTACCGATATATCAATTCTCATGTGGCATAATACTGGTTTTTAATTAAATGCTTGTATTTTTGTAAGTCATTTTTTAAGAAGTTGATTAGATTACTAATTAACTGAATACTGAAATTTAAACAAGTGAATAAAATTGTTTGACTTCAAATATCCATCACAAATACATTCAAAGTTTCCCCTATATTTTCCATGTAATAACATGCATTTTGAAGGTTCTCACACATGTTTTTGTGATAATTGCTCTGGCCTATATTTCTTCGAAGATGTAGGATATAACACTATGAACATGACTAACAAAGAAAGCGGACAAAATATACAGTTCCTCAGGTAGACAAAGGAACATCCCTTGGTATCACTTTTGTGTGGTATGTGATCACGCTTGGATGAACAGGAGGCATTGTTTGCGAGAGTGCAAACATTGACTTGCGACAAAGTGATGCCTACAGTATGTATTATGTTGGGATTAGCGGAGTGAGGGAATTTAATGTATCAAGTGAAAGTGAAGTGAATCAAGTGAAAGCACCTCTCGCAAACAATGCCTCCTGTTCATCTTAGCGTGAGCAAATTACCACACTAAATGATTCGGGATCAAACACTCTTTTATAAGATGTATAATAAGTCACTGTACATAGATGATTTATAAGATAATTAGCAATTTTCTAGGTGTAAACTTTTTTTTGACTCGCACTGTATACCCACGCGTGAACTTTTTTAATGTAGGATATTGACTGATCAAACTCAAAGGCCCGAATTCACAAAGGAGGTTCGTCGATAAACCAGGTTTGTCGACAAACCTCCTTTGTGAATTCGGGCCAAACTGTTGTTCCTTTCAGGCAGGCCCCTATTTCACACTTGGAACTGAATGCCCTTGCTGAAAAGGTTCCCCATGGCTACTACATGAAACTTGGGCTTCGCCTGGGTGTGGATGAGGTAAAGCTCGATAACCTGCTGAGAGACGAACAGCGCACAGAGAAAGCCATGTATGCTGTGTTATGCTGCTGGTGGAATGACACAAAAGAATGTGAGACAAGGAAAAGACTGGTGGAGGCTCTTTCCAAGTGTGGTCTCAAGGTTCTTGCGGACAAAGTTGAGAAAGGTGAGAATGAAGGCGTCAAACCTGCTATAGAAACCACCTGTTTAGAAAAAAACACCTGCCTATAATGATCACATCCTATTTTCTCCCTTGAATCCTGTTTCTAAGTGAAACCTGTACTAAAGAAACCTGTACATATATACCACCTGCTTATAAAGACCATTTTTCATGTTTACCTAGAGCAATCTTTATATACAGGTTTCACTATACATGTATATCGTAGTGAGGTACTGTGGGAAAAATCAACGCCATGGGCCTAATCCCCTCTCCCGCACTCTCTATCAGGTTTAGTCCCACATTCGGCTTTATTATTAACGGTTCTTAGGTAACATGCATACCATCAATTGGCAATCAATTTGACCCTGGAAAGAAAAGTCTCAAACAAATTTCCCTCTCAAATTGCTATTACTTTCTCATTTTTAATAATCCATGCACTGAGAAGACTCAAATGTATCTTATTTGAAACATTTTTAATTTCTTTTGGTTTAAAATGAGTGTTTTTCACCTCAATGATTAATTTCTGTTAGACTGATATGAGGAAATCATGTCCAGAGAAATGGTGATACTATTTTGAGCTGTGGTGTACCATAGTTGTTATCCCGTAGTGTTATTTTACTGTCATCTGTTGTAGGGATCCTCTGTACCGACAGTTCCAGTACAAAGCAAGATGCAACTGAGGAGGAGATTGAACAATGCAGGAAAGACTTGATGGAAGAGTTAGCCATAGCATTCTGCCAAGTGCAGACAAAGCCGCTGGATCCTGACACCTTGCTAGCACTGAAAGATATCTACACCAACCTGATCTTGCTCAGTGAAGACCCCAAATCCAAGTCGCCACAACCACTGAAGTACGAAGACATCCTGAACAACAAGATCAACGATTTCCTGCTGCGCCGTGTGTTGGTACAAGGAGAGGCCGGGGTTGGTAAAACAACCTTCCTCTCAAAAATCATAGATGACTGGATCAAAGGGACTCACTTCCAGGACTTCAAGCTGGTGTTGCCCGTTCGCCTGAGAGAAGTGAAGGATGGGAAGACGATCGGGGAGATTGTGAAGTCGTCGTACCTGCCTGATAACAAGGTGACCGCAGTGCAGCTGAATAACTACATCAGGAATAATCCAGAGAAGGTGCTTATTCTGCTGGACGGCTACGATGAGCTCACTAGGGACCTCTCCACAGAGCATTCTATCCTGAAGATCCTCGAGTGTAAAGAGTACAAGAAGTGTTTCGTCATTATCACCTCCAGACCTTGGAAAGTAAAGCACATACGGGATGACACCGAGCTCCGGAAACGCTACGCCTTCATAGAGATCAAAGGCTTCACAGTGGAGAACGTCAAGGAATTTGTCTCTCGGTTCTTCAGCAACGACAAAGAACCTGCAGAGAGCCTTGTCAAGTTTATGGAGAAGGGCAGTCTGATTGCAGAGAATATGTCACCCTACCCCATCTTCTGTGCCATGCTTTGCCATTTGTGGAAGGAGGAAGCCCGCAGGAAGGTGGTTCAGCAATTGCAGACCTTCTCCCAACTCTTTCAGGAGATCATAGGGTTCATGGAGGACGGCTACCTTGACAAGCAGGTGAAGCAGCAATCCAATTCAAGAAGTCCATTCTCCTATGAGGACACCAAGATGGCTCTTGAGGAGAACCGTCTCAAACTAGCAGAAGTAGCATTTGAGGGACTCTTGCAGAACGATCTAGTCTTTCCTGAAGACAGATTTGATAAGGAAGTCCTTCAAAGAGGATATGATGTTGGTCTCATTTCGAGGGATAAGAAGCAGCCTGGCAGATCAGAGAGGAAGAAGCCACGCACGACGGGGAAAGTCTTTTTTCCGCACAAGCTCTTTCAGGAGTACCTGGCTGGTCTGCACCTCGCAGCACAGGCCAAAACAAATCCAGAAGACTACAAGATGCTGCTCAGTCTCATCCTCAGCAAGAACAGGGATGAGATGAAGTTCCTGCTCTTCTTTGCTGCTGCCCAGGAGAAACAAGTGGCCCTTGACATCACATCCGGCTTGGTCAACGAGCAGGAACCATCATCGATTCGATCTACCACAGGCGTAGAGGCCACAGCACACAAGCTTATAGTCGATGTGGTATTTGAGAGTTTAAATGAAGACGTTGCCAGGGAGGTGGAGAGAAGCTTCTGCTCGCTTTCACGGATGAGAGAACTCAAGGTTGATAATCAAATGTCTGCACACACTGTTGCAGGATACTTCTACACATTCAAGAGCCTGGTAAGTGTTCCTCTCTTTCCCATCAGGTCCAAAGTTGTAGAGCTTACATCTAATCAAAGAATTGTACATTTAAAACGAAAAAAAATACACTTTAACCTCAAGGAACCTTGAAAACATGAAAGCTGATTGGAAGCAACGAAGATATTGACAAACAATTTATGAGGTTAAAATTACACAGAGTTTTGTCTATTCAAAGATCACTAGGTCTAACAAGTGGAAAGAATCTTTGAGAACAAATCTTGTTACAGCAATAATATTATAAAATAGTGCAAATGATGTTGTAGAATTACTTATTTGATCCAATCATGTTGATAATTGTATGCATTTTTACATCGATAAGTTGAGTTAACAAAATCGGTAAGGGTTGTTGTTTCATTGTATCTACAGTATGAGTCCAAAAAAGTTTACACCTAAAAAATGGCTAATTATTTAAAAAATCATCTATGAATAGTTAATTATTATACATCTTATGAAAGAATGTTTTATCCCAAATCATTTGGTACCATTTGTGTGTGGTATGTGTTCATGCTTGGATGAACAGGAGGCATTGTTTGCGAGAGTGCACAAATTGACTTGCGCCAAAGTTGATTATGTGATGTTTAAATAAAACAATTGGGATTTGCGTGTTAATTCGGTCTTTGCATATCCAAATAACATCCTTTACACAATTAATCATGCCACACATATCGAATATCGAATATCAACAAACATTTGTGCACCTGTATGTGTGACTTTGCTTCAAAAAGCAGATGCAATGCATTTCATTTGATACATTCAATTCATTCTCTCACTCCGCTAATCCCAACATAATACATACTGTAGGCATCACTTTGGCGCAAGTCGATTTTTTGCACTCTTGCAAACAATGCCTCCTGTTCATCCAATCGTGAACACATACCACACAAAAATGGTACCAAATGATTTGGGATAAAACACTCTTTCATAAGATGTATAATAATTTACTGTTCATAGATAATTTGTAAAATAATGAGCAACTTTCTAGGTGTAAACTTTTTTTTGACTCACACGGTATATGCTTTTTCTGTCTGTACAGGAAAGTGTTGTGTTTCTGAAGCGATCCTATGGCCACACGCTGTCTAGTGAGCTTGCAGACAAGGTCTGTACACTCCCGACTCTTCAGAGAGTTGAACTCAAGAATGCATCTTTCCAAGAAGTCTTCTACATGGTCTTTGAAAAGGAGGCACAGAAGTCTCGGGTAAGAAGTAAAGAAATAATTTATCTTCTGGTTATTCTTTGCATGAAGCTCTTACAGTGTTGACGGTTGGAACGGGATGGTCCCTAGGAGATGGAGAGAATTCAGAAGTCCGTGGGTTAAGAATGAACCACAGGTGACTTAACTTGAGTAATTATGTGCTATTGTCATTGTTGTTGTTGTTTTTGCTATGTATTATTATTATTATCATCACCATCATCATCATGAGCATTATCTATAACATGAAGGTAAATTTTTCAAAAATAAATGGCATTCTTGTTGATTCCTCTTCTTCATCTGCTTGCCCGGCCCAGGGATTGTGTGCTTTGCCTTATTCCATTGCTTTTGATGTTTTTGTTATGCAATATCATCATCATAAGTGTTATCTACCCGTTGATTGTCCCACTTTTAGGTGAAGTCTTTCACCATAAATGGGACTATCATCGAGCCTTCTACTTCATCTGGTCGGCTGGCTCGGGGATTGTGTGCCATGCTTTACCTGGACAGACTAATCCTGCACAATGCTACGTTGGCAGAAGATTTCTACTCTGTCATGGCGAGTTACGCCCACTCTGCTAAGGTAATGGTATCATATTGCTCGCTGAGAGTCAGAAAGGCATTAATTCAGACCTGCCTAGTGTCCCGCTTTTTGCGGGACAATCGCGCATTCCGGAGGAAACAAACCCCAGAAAATGTGGGATGTCCCGCATTCTGCACATTCTGATCTTTTGCTATAGTCATTAATCAGTCAATCAAATAATGCCCAGTTTGTAAACTTAAGCATTTTTCTTACACCTGTGACTTAAAATCCTATCTGAGGGACAAAGTGATTTTTTCTGATGTTGCAGAACTTATGTGCTTGTTAACATATGACACAGGCCCCACTCATTTGTCTGGGCGTGATGAGACATAATTTAAAACAAGAATGAAATGTTCGTCTGTGCCCCAACTATCAGTTACTTATAATTTTGATTTGTGTACAGTCATTATTTTTACTCTCTTCTCTTTTGATCTTTCAAACCCAGATCAAGGAGCTCCGTCTTGCTGACTTGTCCCTTGAAAACGAGGCAGACATCTCCAAGAGCATTGCCAGAGCCGTTTGCTCAATGCCCAGCCTCAAGAAACTCATCTTGTCTGACTGGATTGGTCTTCATGATGCATTCTATACCGAGCTTGCTGCAAATGCATCATCTACCCAGGTAATGATGATGGTGATGATGATGATGATGATGATGATGATGATGATGGTGATGATGATGATGATGACATTGATGAGGCTTTCCTGGTTGAATCAAATGATGATGATGATGATGATAATGATGATAATGATTTTTGTTATTATTGATATTATTATCATCATTATTATTGTTGAAATTATTATCATCATCATCATCATTATCATTATTATTATTATTGTTAATATTATCATTATTGTTTTTTTGTTTTTATGCCTCAGTTACGAAGTAGCCGGAGGCATATTATGTTTTCCGGTTGTCCATCCGTCCGTCCATCGTACGTCTGTACGTACGTACATACGTACGTCCCGTTCTAGTGATCCGACTGATGGATTTCTACCAAATTTTGGTCATGTGTGTAACTTGCAGAGCCAATGAATTTATTAAATTTTGGGGTCATGAGGTCAAGTTCAAAGGTCATGGGGCTCATTATGTATGCAAAAATAGCTTGTGATTGCATTATCATTAGAACCAATGGATGGATTACCATCAAACTCGAGACATGTATGTATCTTGCATTTGGGGTCATGAGGTCAAAAATCAAAGGTTCATACATTTATATGAGAAATAGCTTGTAATCGTGATATTCTGAGAACCTGTTAATGGATTACCATCGAACTTGAATTTGAATAATTTCTTTCGTTTTGGTTTGTAAAATTGCTCTATGAAGGAGGCATCACTTTCGACTGCACGCAGTCGAAGTTTCATAATAATTTATAATCATAGTTTATAATTTGTATTGCTTTCAGATCGAGGTCATTGAACTGTCCGACTTTGGGCTGAAGACTGAAAAGCCGTCATGTGACCTTGCAGTGTGTTTGAAAGCCATGCCATGTCTGAACAGTCTGGTGGTTGTCAAGGAAACGAAGCTTCACTCAAGCTTCTTCTCAAAGTCTGCTGCCTTGTCTCAAGAGGTAATGTCCTCGGTTGAATAACTTTATTAGATTCCATGAAAGTAAACTTTGGTGATTTATATAATTCCTTATTATATTATTAATTTAATAGATAGATTAAATCCACATTACTGTATGTCAAATATATCTTAAATATTATACAGTGAAACCTGTATATAAAGACAGCTCAAGGGAGACATGAAAAGTGGTCTTTATCAGGCGCAGATCCAGGAATTTCTTGCCGGGGGGGGGGGGGGGGGGGGGGGGGGGGGCACCGTATGGGAAAGAGAACATATATATTTATTTTAGTCCTAAAAAATCACAACATCTCAACCAGCCACTGAATAAGCGGAAGGGGGGGGGGGCAAGGTCACCTTTTTAGGTCAACCATTGGCATTTTTTTTTTTTTTTTTTTTTTTTTTTGCCGGGGGAGCACGCCCCTGTTTTTCAGTACATTTTTGGCGAATTTAGGGCTGATTTTAACATATTTTTTTGGGCCGGGGAGGGGGGGGCACGTGCCCCTTGTGCCCCCTCCCTGGATCCGCCACTGTTTATAGGCAGGTAGCCTTTCTATACATGGAAACAAGAGAATGTAGAATTAGGGTACAGTCACTACCTAATTTCAGTCTTTAGATATTCAACTTGCTATTCGACCATTTCATTTACAGAATGGCCAAGATGAGAACCAGTCTGCAGAGGGTAAGAGGTGCTTTTCTCTCACGCTTGACAACAAGACTGCCGAAGCCTGGTGTGAGCATAAACTTGTCTCCATCATGCCAGACCTTTTGACCTTCATCTTACGTTGTGGTAGAACCGTTGACACAAGGACCTTACTAAAGGCATCAATACCAGGACTTCGGGAGCTTCACATTCAGGCTGCGTTGCCTGCACGCGATCCAATAATATCAGACGTTGATAGCTTCAGCAGGACAGTGATGTCATCATTCCCTGGTCTGCAGAGGCTAGACCTCACCAACATCGCCCTGGGAAACCAAAGGTCAAAGGACATCATCATCAAGCTAAAGGAACACCCAAGCATCCAGAACATCAGGTATCCTGATCTTTGATTTCTTATTTTATTTAACATCTATTTCTAGTATTCATATAACAGGCTGAGAAGCGGATGATTATAGATAGGAATAGTATTGAAAGGAAAATCCAAATTTCGAATTTTAATGAGGATGATGAGAAGATTCAATTTTTTTTTTTTAATACAGGTAATGCTTTTGGTCTATAACAATGATCATCATCGTTTAGAATCCAGTTTTCTTGTACCCTGTTGGGATGGATGTTTCATTTCCCTTTAATATGGCTCTTCTCCAAGCCTGAATTCTGTCTTAAGCAAAAGAGCCATATTAAAAGGAATTTGTATTTTCCTTTCAATAATTCATTTGAACAAAATGCATAAGCAAATAATGACTACTCTTTGCAGTACCCAAGTTGCAAATTATTAATGTAAAAATGATGGATTTGTATATGACTATGGTGTATAGATTAAGGTTATGAATCAATTCTGTATTTCATCTCTGTGACCTTTTTAAGGACATTAGAGTACTGTTTTAACTTAACATTTTGCACTTACATGTTCCAGTTTCATTAAATGCCACACTGACCACGGGATGGATGCATTTTGCAGGTCTATATCGGTTACTATGGAGCATGGCGAGGTAAGAATCAAACCATTAGCTGATGAAGTACTGTAGAACTTATAAAAGTTTGTAACATGTCTTAGCCGCGCAATTTGTCAGGGAAGGGGGGGGGGGCGGCTCAAGAAAAAAAAGAAAGGCGTAAGATTGCAATTATTCTCAATTGTATATAACAAAGTGTAAATCAAGGCCATCTAATATAACAAATATTGACCATTAGGGTGTATAGTACAATTTTTTTTTTTTTTACATGAAAGGACTTATGTTTTCCCTCATAAAAATATTGTGAAAATATATACCCTTCGACAGTAAAAAAAATATGTTACAATACCCACCCTTTTAATTAATATCTGTATATTATTCTTTGTTGATTGGATTTTTCTTTTCTTTCACAGCGCCAAAAGATGTAGTCTGTGATGGATACTGATGAAGCTTTCATTTCAATGACTCCTAAATGTGTAACCTTGGAAGACGGCAGGGGATTCTACAAATTACTGGAACCTACAACTTAAGAGTCATATCATAGGGACTTCAATGTAGGTGAAAATAATGGATTTGTAGTGTACGGGTACGTTGAGCAATTGTTCTCCCTACTTGTCTCTAGACATTTTGTGTGGGACCTTAGTTTAAAGTCCTTTGGGAGTGATAAGTTTGTAGCCAATTAGTGCCTTCTCAGAATAGAAGGAGAAGTGCCTACATGCCTCTACAGGGTTGTTCATCACCTTGAATCGTGCATGGTTGATTATTCACGATTGGATGCTTGCATGTTTTTCTGAAATTGAATTCAGATAAATGTGAATTCCTTTTATACAACGCCTACTAAGATTCTTGCAACCTCATTGGTCAATTTTTGATCTCATGACATGCTCTAAAAGTACCATTGAAAAGCATCATTCTCCAGCAGTGCAATTCTGTTTGATCCTTTCGCACCATTGCACTCTGACGTCACTAACTATGTACAAAGTATATGGTGAGCTAAGTGACGTTAGAGTGCAATGGTGCGAAAGGATCAAACGAAATTGCACTCCGCGTAACAATAAACATAAAAGTTGGTACGCGCGTGGTTTGCTGCCTGCTTAGTGCGCGCTCACTATCAGCAATTTCATTAATTGAAAATGAAACAAAAAATCGCTGAGATTTAGGCCTAGGAAAACTGTTTTAAGCCCGTTAACGTCCGAGGTCTGATCAAATTGTACCTATCTGTAGATCAGTTAGGTTCCAATTACGTATCAATCGGTTTCATTGAGAAATATTTGTCCAAGTCCGCCAATAAAAAAAATAGCCCACGCCTTGATTTCCTCCCGTCTTGACTTTGGCAATGTCCTTCTGTTCAATTCACCCCAGAATCTGTCGTCCAAGCTCCAGAAGCTTCAAAACGCTGCAGCTCGCATTGTCACTTTATCCACCAAGCGTACCCATATCACCCCTGTTTTGCAGTCACTGTTAAAGATCGCATTATTTTCAAGATTTTGTTGCTCACCTATCACTGCATTCTCGGTTCTGCTCCCCAATACAATATTTCATTGATCCAGTTCCCTTGCGATTGCTAAAGTTGCAAAAGTGTATAACCTCTGATTCCTTTAAAATTAAAATATTAATATTTTTCTACATGCGCCTTGAGTGGATTTGACGCTATATAAGTTACTTTTATTATTATTATTATTAATATAGTAGACATTATGTGTTGGGGACCTATTATTTGAGATTAGTGCTTTACTAGATGGAAATGTAGGTCTATAATAGCTACAATATCAAATTAGAAGAGTTTGCTGAACTATAGAAAGCTCTTCCAACACATCTCTACGTGTTTTGTAATGTGTAAGTTAATAATTTTCTTGGCATTGACAGGTGTATTTCAAATTTAGTTGAAAAATCTTAGCATAGCAAGTGAACAAACCTAAGGATATTAGTGTATGGTGCCGTACCCTTCGGTTTTGCACAAAGAAAGTCAAAGGAGATATCAAGGTCTTTTCAATTGTGTCGACGAGAACACCGTCCACCTCCAGACCACATGTTCACTTGGGGCGCACTACTTGATCACTTCCCGTTGAAACTGTTTCGATTTCAGTCAACCCCAGCTTGCTGCACTAAATTTCAAACCCATTGAAAAGAATGGAATTTTTATTCTGGGAATTAAGCTGGTTTCAGTCAGACCATTCAGTTGAATGAGAACCCAGTGTCATGTCCATTTTATATTTGTAAATTACTTGTTATTTTTTTTAAATTAAAGATGTAACAGTGCAATGAAATCTTAATTTTTCAAACCCAATTTATATGGCAAATAAGTTCTTTTTAATAATCAGTGCAATTTACTTCTTGAACTCTTAAAATTGAAAAATGGCTGTTTTTATTACAATTTGTATTGAAATCATATGTTATTTCTCGCATGTAATATATCGCAGTCTTAATTTTAAACCCCTCCCAATTTTACAATGGTTGTTTTTGTGACATTACAGATTCAGCCTATTTGGAGTTCTCATAAGTAAAGTGCCTAAAATTAACTTCAAACCATTAATAACTTTCTCTGATTTTTCTGTTTTCTTTTAGAGTTGTTTGCTATTAAGTGTGGATTTCCCTTCAATGATGTAGACAGGGATACATGCAATAAAAATGTCCACTGAAATGTTCTGATATAATATCAAAATACAGTGAACTTAATGTGTAAATATTTCATAGTCCATCATTTTACCAATCAGCTTTATGAAAATATTTTTTCACTAAAATTGTGTAAATGTTTTCTGTACTTAATAGCTGTTGTATTTTGCATTTACCGGTACCTAAAAGGCTAAATACTCCTTTGAATTATATATATATTAAACATTCCATTAGTATATATCTGTAAAGCGCTTAGAGACGTCTGAGATGTATTAAGCGCTATATAAAAGCTGAATATTATTATAATGTGATAATGTGCATAGTGTATTTATCTCTTTTAAAAGATCATGACCAAATTGAAAACATTTTTAAATTCCTGTTCCTAGAGTTGTCAGGTTTTTAAGACAGAAAATGAGACAATTGTTTCAATATTGATCATATTACAAAGTGTACTTTTTACAATTGATGCTGAGACAGCAATTTCAAAATTGCCAAGTATGTTTGTTTTATTCCATTCAATTATGTAATCTATGAATCCACCTTTAATACAATACAAGTGTGCTGCTGAGGTTTAGATTTAAGATAAATGTATCTCAGTCCATAAGATCTACTTGGAGTTCTTTGCCAAATTTAACCAAAGAATCGATATAATCATGTTATGTAAATACCTAGACTAAAATCATCATTATTATAGTTATTGTAATTATTTTTAATCATCACAATGTATTAAACCGTGTGGATGTTGATTTATGTAAATTAATAAAACATTGATGTCTTTGGATGATATTATGTGTAATGTTAAAGTGGTTAAATAACAGATTTAATAAGAAGAAAAATTTGAGAAAAAATATTATGATTGTTACAGATTTACTCAGCAGGGCTTCGCAATTAATTATTATTGATTATTGATTATTACATATTACATATTACAATGTAGAATGCTTGTTATATGGCAACAGTGTAAATTAGAAAGGGAATTCTTAATAAACTAGTGTATTTCTATTTGTAAATTATTGTGTGTGATCATGGTTTCATTCCAAACGTTTTGATAGCACTATGTTTTGAGATGCTGATGCTGATTAATTTGGGCTTTCAAGTGATTCAGAGAGACGTCCATTGTGAAAAATGTGAGACAGAGAGGGAGAGAGAGAGAGAGAGAGAGAGAGAAGAAAGAGAGAGGAAGAGAGAAATTTAAGAGATAAATGGGGGGGGGGGTAGAGAGAGAAAGAAAGACTTCCTTTTCCACAGCATATTTTTTTGGTGATAATTACATTAACGATTATAAAGAGATATGAGATAGAGAGAGAAAAGGGAGGGGGTCGGATAAGAATTTGGGGGTACATTGCTCAAACTTACAAAACAGCTTTGGAAATAAATAAAGGATACGAAAAGCAACATGTAGACTGAAAAACAAAGTTACAAAAGCCATACATTTCTTGGATTTTTTAATGATAACATTAATAACGATGACTCCAATATATTTCACGTGAAAAACAAAGGTTTTGTTCATGACATCGTTTGGGGGTTATGGCTCACTAACAGTCCCCTCTCCCTCCCTCCCTCCCCTCCCTCTCTCAGCGCAGATCCAATATAATTATATAGCCATCGATTTAATGATCTCATGAATTATCACTGAGGCTCCAGTGCGCTGGCTCGTGAGGTATCCAAGAAACGGGAGCAATCGGCGATGAAAATGGTCATCTACCAAATGGACCAGGGTGTATGCAATGGTAGATATCAAAAGAATGGAGAGGTTGCACGAATTTGATCATTAATTGATGTAACGGCTGCAATCAGAGAGAGAGAGAGAGGCAAAACAATTGAGAGTATCCATGGTTACAACAGTTTGAATCTAGTATTATAGGCCTAGCTAATAGTAAATGAGGACAAAATGTTGAGCAAAAATTGAATGAGCTGCCTATCTCCTAGCATGCGATCTATCTCTCTTTCCCTTTGCTATACTAATATATAAGAGTTCCCTCTTTTATCTCCTTTCTCTTCGTCTGCCTGTCTATCGGTCAGTCTCTTCCCTCTGTCTCTCTACTTACTTCTCTTTTTATTTTTTCTCTCTTATCATCTACCTTCCTTCTCTTCCTCTTTCCCCTCTCTGTCCTCTTTAGTATCTTCCTCTTCACTCTCTCCCTCTCTACCACCTCCTCTCCCCTCACTACTCTCTCTCTCTCTCTCTCTCTCTCTCTCTCTCTCTCTCTCTCTCTCTCTCTCTCTCCCCTCTGTAGCTATCATCCCATTCTCTCCCCCCCCCCCCCTCCATCCGAATCTACCTGCCATTTTCTCCGCCTCTCTCTCTCTCTCCCCCAGCTCTCCCCAGTTCCCCCTCTTTCTGGGTAAGATATTGTCATGACATGAATGAACGCTTTTATAAATCTTTATCGATATACTTGTAGATTACTTTTGCTGAATGAAATCTGTGTAGGGCCTTGCTTCCTCCAAAGTTTAAATAGCATTTACTATTCTCCTCCAGAGGCTTTTTGCACCACAGTATCATGTGAAATGATAATTTGTTCTATTTTGAGATCTAATAATTTCGTTATTGGTATTTAATAACATGGTATGACAGGACCTTATATAATGAAAACATGCAGTACTATTTCTTTGAAAAGGAAAAAAATATATTATCTATAAAGATCATTACAGGACAATGGACAAAACTATAACTACTGACTACTGGAGTCAGACATTGTTAGATAAATATGAGACTTGCGTCATTTCTATCCCATCGTCATTATCCTACTGTAGCGTCAATATCCTAGCGTCAGAGTACGATAACCCATTATTCCCCCCCCCCCCAACCCCAACCCTCTTTTCGCTTCCCACCCCTCTCGCTATAGCTAGCCTCCTCTCTCAATTAATTTATTTTACATAATAGCCCCTCTTCTCTTTCTCTCTATCTCTCTCCCACTATCTATCTCTCTCATTCTCTCCCCTCTATACATTTATGTCATATCCCTCCCCCCCCCCCAATCCGCCCCCTCTCTATTATACTTCACTCACTCACTCCCACACATCTAAACACCATCAATCTACCTCTCTCTTTCCCCATATAGTAATAATAACACAGACGCAGCTATTTGTATACAGTATATCCATTGTTCATAATTCAACGTATATGTATTTTCCTTCCGCATGTCATTTAGTAGGCATTCAAAAAGTGATCAATCATTTTTAACATTTTACAAGATAATACGAAATGGACGCAGACAAGTGAGAGAGAGAGAGAGAAAGTGAGAGAGAGAGAGAGAGAGAGAGAGAGAGAGAGAGAGAGAAAGAGAGAGAGAGAGATGGCCGATGGTTACTATGGTGACTATAGCTGTTTCACAGGGGCAGGGAGCCGGGAAATTACTGAGATGCATCATTCATTATTTTAACTTTTTCATGTGAAGTAGACCTATATAAACTCATGGCAGGGCACGTACGATTTTTAGCGAGTGAACCACCTTTAGTGAGCAGTTAGCAGGCTTCATCCCAGATTAGCTTTCCTTTGTATAACATGGGTAAACCACACAGTTTGCAGAAAGGATTTTTAATTTCAAAAAGAGGTCGAATTGAACAAAACTCCCACTGGACACAGTCTTAACTCAACCGGTTCAAGAATGACAGTGAAGTGTGGTATCGAAAACTAAAGGACCTGTATACATATATATATATATATATATATATATATATATATATATATATATATATATATATATATATATTTGACTTGTATTCTTTTGTGAACGTCTGCATAGTTACGTGGTAATTGCAATCGTTGTGTTGTTATTTGAAGTCACTATAGTCTCCGCTCTCCGAGAACAGAAAACTCGAGTGCCTGTCTGCTGAATGATGGATTAATTAGGTCATTAGGAGACACATTGAGGAAAAATTGGATACAGCGTACGGAATTTGTGGATCAATATTGTATCCAAGTGATGATTATGCGCTTATAATTACGATAGTGGGAATATGAACTTTTCTGTTTTCTTTGTCATCTCATCATCAGTAGCCAGATTATGCAGGCTGTTATACTTCGACTTACAACACGTACGTGAAGGAACTCTGCGATTTTATTAGCATTTTCATCTGCCGTAAATTTTTTACCTTTTTGTCTTTCGGGACTCGAGCAAGCAAGCTCATAATAATAATATAGTCGGATGGTGGACGCAATTTGTGAAACGATCAAAATAATCATAACGTCCGGATCTTTAAACTGATTTTGTTTGTCCGAAAGCTAGAGTTTCGGCAATGGCTTCTGTCAAGCAACTGAAGAAAAACCCTGCCACAGTGCCATCTGACAAAGCAGAGAGTGTTTCTGGAGGCGACGTACCTTCCACCAAGGTTGGAGGGAGCGACGGCGGATCGAGAGGCGGTGGTGGATCGAGCGACAACGGATCCGTGGTCGGTGGAGGAAGCAGTCCTTATAGCGACGCCAGTAAACCGAGCAATAACGGAGGAAAGACGAGGAAGCTTTCGCAGTGGAGTCTCCTCAAGAAGAAGCTGAATATTCGCAACGGAGCCACGGTAATCGGTGGCAGCGGTGGGATCAAAGGCACACTGTCCCTTGGAAACCCACTCCTCATCCGTACTACGTCCAAGAAGTCCTTCCTCACCAACACAAGCAACAACAACAACTCGGTCGAGTCCGTGCGAATCGAGAACACCTATCAGCTGGGTCCCGACCGTGAACATACCTTTCGTCCTTTGTGCGTTCAACATGAGGTCGAACGCCTCCTGGACCAGATCCTGGGAAACGAGAGGTACGACTCATCGCGGAGTGGCTTTCTGACAGTCCGTATTGCAGAGGCTGTCAAGGACAGGGTTAAGACTCTAGGATTCGTAAGGCACAAGCTGGTTGTCCAGACCATGCTCAGCTCGGCTGGAGGGCAGAGTTTCGAGATCGCCAGCCGATGTCTCTGGAATGCCGACACCGACAATTACACGACGGCCGTTTACCAAAACCCGACTCTCTTCGCGATTGTATCGGTGTATGGATTATACTACGAATGACGCAATATTGTTTAATGACGCAAAAATATAAGACGCTAAGACGCAAGTCTCATGTCTGACTTATTATGTACATAATTTGTGCATAATCATTATCATCATTTTTTGTTGGTAAATATTTTGTAAACACCACTTTCATTATTATATGTACAAGTGCAAAAATAATATTGTGTATATAGGCATTTATAGAATATGATCTCTTTTTGTTCAAAGTAATTACTGCATGTTTTCATATTTATCACAATACTGTCGCACCATGATTTTGTGACAATCATGTTTTTTTTAAGTTACATATCATAAATCTCAAGATCGTGTTAGAAATTCCCTTTGGTACTCAAATATGCTTTTATCTTTATTATGTTGTGCGGATAGTATATGAAACTGGAATGGAGGTACTGCAATTTTTTTTTAACAAAAGCAATACATTGGAAACCGTCGGTTGGAAAATAAGCAGACAGGAAAAAAAACTACATGGAAGAGGACAAAGTCTTCCTAGAAAACAGAAGAACAACTTACAAGGAATCAGGTAAAATTGGAAGCAAAAGCAGAACGCCATAAGACGAACGGATCAATATCCTCCTATTAGACCGCTTTACTAACATATTCAAATTATATGCATACATTTTAAACAAAGGTTGTACTTGTCAACCTGAAAGCTTGATGCAGGCTTGTCCGACATAGCAACAGGTAATGTATGTATACTTGATTATTAGTGTATACGTAAAGACTAATGCAGTTCATTCATTAATAGTGGGTTAATGTAATAACTCGTCAATAGGTCCCCAGGAGAGAAACATCCATAAATGTTGAACAGAACGGATCGACATAAATGAAAACCTTCGATAAAGACTCATGCATTAATTCAGTATCAGTTTTCCTCTCGCAAGGTGGAACACCCTGCCAGTAAAAGGTGATTTCCATAGGAATCCGACGAGAGAGACAATTCAAATTATCTTACTGTATACAATAACATCGAATTGTTTTATTCAAAACCAATTTTCAAATGTGTATGCTTGTTCAAAAGTTCGGACGTTTCATTGGTCATCTTTTGATGATTATGTTTAAGGAAATCGTCAAAATGATTAAGATTGATAATAATAATAATAATTATGTTCATTTCATTTTCATATAGAAATCATGTTCGGATTATGTAACACGTTCGCTCGTTTCTAAAGGTTTTGAACAAGGTTTTTGAAATTACGATGGGTTGATTTTGCGAAAGTCTTTGCGATCGTGCTTTTTGCCTGTTCTCGTGTTTTTACACATTTCTTGGTCATGCATCAGTAGGGCCCATACACAATATTAGCAAAGATATGTTCATTAAATTTATATTTGAATGTATTTGAGGTGGCGAAATGGACATTGGTGATCTTTTGTCTACGTTTTAGTCACAATATTATACGTGTCGGGCGATGCGGATGTCAACGCACTGTGGAGTTAAAGGTCCCTAAAACGGGACTGGGCGGGGGGGGGGGGGGATACCGTATATTTCTGACAAGAAACAAACAAAAAGGATGTAAAAAGGTTTATAATATTTTATTATGTACCAATTCACGTAAAAGTCTTTGACTAGCAGTTGGAAGATTTTTTTGAATAGGTGAGGGAAGTCCGAGGTAATGTGCCCTATCCCCTCTAAAAAGCAAGGAAAATCCGCCACTGTCTGAGGATTCGTTACGAGTACTCCCTATTACACACACCCACGTGTAATTTCACATAATGGGCCAATTCTCTTTGATGATTCCGGAATACCATTTTACTTGGAAAGTACAGTGACACCTGCCATCGCTTTTTTTTTGTATATGGTTTGTTTAGTTAATTGCTAGGGATATATTATACGGCTGCTTTTCCAAATGGCCCGTGTAATATAATGAGCATACATGATCGTGTTTATAAATATTCGAATAGTTCTAGTGCAGTGGCGGATCCAGGGGTACTATGGGCACATTCCCCCTCTCATGTTGGAATTTCTTTTAATGTTTAAACAAATCTTAGCCGAAACGGCATACCCCGCCCCAAAATATTGTTGGGCTGCGCCCCCCCCCCCTTCCTTAATCCTCGTTACGCCACTGCAATGCATCACTCCTACAAAATGTTAGGGTGCCGTTACGTTTCCAAACAAATACATGTGCATTTTATTTTTCTAATGTCTATCAATTAAGGGCCAAAAATGGCTTGGCGGTAGAGTTGCCGTCCAGATTGATTGATTGATTGATTGATTTTATTCATTTCATATAACAATTGTTTGCACAATAAAGAATATAGTTGACAAAGTAAGATCAAAATTATGAAATGAAACATGAACCTACTGGAAAGCATAGCTTGTTTTTGTAGGTTCCCAAGAATAAATATAATATGAACATTATTATCATAAATCATTTAAAGTGATAGATAGCAGTAGATGTTGCAGGTACTCCCCCCCCCCCCCCCCCCCCCTGGTTCAAAGACTTTTTTGTCTGCCTTGTCGTGCATGTGCATTTCGTAGACACGTTTGCAAGTACCGGGAGTCACAGCAAAAATGTTTATCAAGTTGTTATTCTTGCATATAAATCACTCTTATTATATTATTCAATCATTGCATACGACTTGTTCAATGCATTTTGTACTTTGTATGGTCGTTTCGAAAACAAAAATAAACAAAAATGAAAGCTGATCGAAAGAGTTCATTTATTTTACACCATCGTTTTATTCAGTCTATATACTCTTGATTCCGTAAATGCATTCTTGCTCTTTATGGTGAGGATGCCATATCATTTTCTATAGTATGCATTCATATTTTGCAAACCCTAGTCACCAACGATTAGACATAAACGCTCCTTTTTAAAGTAATTACCTCCGGTACAATCAATGAAAAGTACAAACGCGCTAAAGCAGAATCTAAATTTTCCTTGTTGGCCCCACGTTCTGACACCAACCAAAGGCCAGTTGATTAAGTGTCAATCTTTTTATGTTTTTATCTGTTTTATACAGATTCTTCATAACATTTCCGTTCACGTACGGGTTCGACTGCATGTGCAGTGTGTATTTATAGTCGGGTCTGTCTGTAGCTTCTGTAAGTGTATCGTTGCATGTACGGAGAGGTGTCATAATGGAAGGGAAAAGGAAGTTTGGAGCACAGGATGGCAGGTGTTTTTTGTGAAGATCGATCGTTTTTAGCTTTTACAGTCACGTGAAGAGTTCATTCGTCACATCCTGAAGAAAATATTAAATAAAAAGATGGGGGTAATGTATCGATGACCTAGAGTTTTCTCCACAAGCTACATGACATGTACTTGATCTTAAGTTGGATCGAATTGCCCCCACTTTAATAATAATAAATTAAAAAAAAGTTGTTGTATTGCCCTTTAGGTGCCAAAATATGGGTCGGTCGGTCGGAAATCTTTTGTTTTGTTTTACTCCCTCCTTGGGTTGATATTTCTCTCTTTTGAATGCTTTAAAACATTTTTTTCTTCTAAAAAACGGTAATTTTCAAGATTTTTGGGTCGGTCGCAAAGGGCGATACAACATTTTTTTTTTAAGGCCTTATGAGTGAATGGCTCATTTTTGTTGTTGAATATCAAGAAAGTGTTGGCTTGTCAGTGACAGGGATATTTCATTTCACATTAACCTCCATCAGCGACTAGATATCTACGTATTACATCAGTTATCCTTCAGTACCCGTCTTTTAATCCTCCTTTCCTTCAATCAATCATGCCCCTGGCATTATTGATCCCCCGTCTCTTCCATCAATACTATTATAGCCATCCTGCTCATGAATGCCATCAATAGGGACTTTTAGATTCGCACGAAGACAATGGGGATTGCTACGGTCGACGTCCTTTTAATGCACTGCCTTGAATGGACGTCACACGTGTCAGTCCACGCAAATCTAAAAGTCCCCATTATCTTTCATCACCGACTGTCCTTCTCATTTAGAAGCAAACATCCTCTTCCTCTCCCATCACCGGTCATCTATTATCCATCCATCACTTCATCTATTTTCATTTTTTTTCCATCCTCTTCCATGCGTGGTCAGCACCCATCTCTCTAATATACATAGTCCGGCTTCTGTCCGTTTTTATATATTTTTTCTTTTTCAATCACACTCGTCCCACTCACAGCGCGATCCCCAAACTACCGTTGAGTACAAAATGAGAGGAATGAATGGCAAGGTCTACTGTCAACGTTGCATTAGGGACTTTTAGATTTGCACAATGACAATGTGGATTGCTACGATCGACGTCCTTTTAATGCACTGCCTTGAATGGACGTCACACGTATCAGTCCACGCAAATCTAAAGTCATTATCAGCCGATTGGGAGCGCGACACATAAACGGTACACAGGCTGGAAATTATCATATGTACACTGTATATACAAATTGTTTCCACTATCCTCTTCCCCTGTCATAGACCATTAGTCTTTATGTCATCTCCATCATCGTTCTTCGTCACCAATCAATCAATCAATCAATGACTAATCATTCTTAGCCATCAACCATCAATACATAGCAGACTTCAAGAAATTGTCCCGAAAGCATTATTAAAGCTAGTTTGTAGACGCTGTCAGCACATGGGCAGATAAAGGTCATTGGTACCAAATTCTTGCTCATGAAAGTAATGTACTCATCATTAATAAGCCAGTTCACGGTTGCACTCTGAGCATGAGCAGATAAAGGTCATTGCAGAACAAATTTTGAAAAACACACAGACGAAATACTGGATACGTGGTCATAAAAGTTATGTAATCATTATTCATTCATGCACATTCAGTGCACTCCATGATACACAGGTGGAAATATTCTTTGAAAAGGGGAAACAAAGGCTATTTATGTAGCACCTCCATCGCTGTAGGAGTGATTATTTCACAATGTACAAAGTGGGACCTCTTCATGTTTTGAAGATCTGTGGATATTCGGGGTCATTGCAGTAATGTGCTAACCGTGAACTGGTCTATTCTCTGATATACAGGCGGAAGTATTCTTCTCAAGAGGGGCAAACACTTTGGGGGTGATTATTCTGAAATGCACAAAGTGTGACTTTCTCACATATAAAAGATTTGGGGGTCATTTTTACCATAGTTAACATAGAACTCGTCTATTTCGATATCCTTGTAAATGACCTTAATCCAAACATTATTTATTTGGCAATACAGTAGGGGTAATG